TGGCCCCTGCGGGGCGGGATGACACGCACCTTCGGAACTTGGGGTCTGGCTCAAGTAAAAAGGGGTGTGGGATGTTTGAGTTTGGTGTTTGTTGGGGAGTTCTTGGAGGCTTTGAGGTGAAGGTTGGTGGTGGCTGTAGTCGCCGGGTGTGGGAAAGCGGTGTTCGTAGAGACAGTAGAAGCTATCGGAGTGCACGAGTAGCCGGTCCAGCATCCTCCAACGGAGTTCGTCCCCCTTGAGGGCTATCCTCAAGCCGGGGTCAAAACACTTGAACTCCTCGTTGGTGAAGTCGTCCGCTAGCTGGTTGAGATCTCTCCGTATCCACGGTAGCTGCAGCTCACAGTTCCTGTGGGATAGCTCTTCGGCCGTCTCCATCAGGATTAGCATGGAAGGATACTTTGTCGTCATAGCCTTCTTCAAGAGGGACTCATTGGACTTGTTATACGTGCAGCCCCTGATGGCAACGCGAGGTTTTCCTATCCTCGCCCTCCGGTGCCCAGAGACGTATCCCGACGAGGGTCGCTAGCAACTCTAGCGCAGCCATCACCTTTTTCACATCTCCTTTGCAGAATGCCCAAAGGCCCACGACCTATCCACTTCGAGAGAGAACCAGGGTCCCGGCTTCCCCCAGTCTAGCTCCAAGCCCCCTATCCATGCTCTCGTGGATTCGGCCTAGCCAGTCATGAGGAGACCAGGCGTGGAGCGGCCCCAGAAAGGGTCTCTCCCAGTCGAGTGCTATCGCTGCAAACCCTAGGCCCAAGCCCTGCTGCATCTGCTTCCGTGACCTTGCCAGTGCTGGACTATCGCCTAGCCATTTGGCTAGCCAGCCGGCTCGCTTCTCCGACATCCCCAGCGGGTAGTTCGTGTAGTCCGTCGCCATCCCGAGCCATTCTACACAATAGCCACCTCTCGCCTTCGCCCACTTGAAGGGATAGCCCAGAACCGAAAAAAACTCAACGGTATCCCTTGTCTCCCCTTAACCCCTGTCAGGCAGCGATCCTCGTCCACCAGTACCTCGCCGGGGATGGCCCAAAAGTGCCCACCTTGTTGACATAGACGATCTGGACTATCCGCACTGTCTCCTCCGCATCTATCTGGCAGCCCATGTAGCCATGCTCGCTAGCCTGGTGCTTGTATCGCCTGTGGGCCTTGGAGATGTCGCCCACGACAGAGTAGGCCACCTCGCCCTCAGTCTCTAGCTCCCGTAGTAGCTGCTTCTTCTCCCTAGCCCCAGGCGCCCGGAGCTTATCCCCGCATTGTATCCGGTTGTTGACCTTGACGCCGTGGGTGGCATCATGGATTATTCTCTTTTTATCCTTCTCCTCGTCCTCGACGATCACCGCCAAGGCCGCAATTGCCCGGTCCTCTCCAAACCTAGCCTTGAACTCGCCTAGGGTCATCTTCTCCATGAGTCCCTCCTTGACGTCCTCCACGAAAATATCCCGCACGAAGTCGCGGCGCTCCTTAACCGAGGAATAGTTTGGCACCCAGGCTAGCCCAGGTTCTCAGGCAAGATCCTCTAGCTTCCAGGACGTCTGCTCCTCAAAGACATGGGGGGTCCTAGGTAGCCCTTCGAGAATCTTCAAGGGTAGCCCCGTCTCGGCCCGCCGGAGAAACTCCCTATCCGGATCGCCCGCAATCTCCAGCAACACGCGAAGTAGCCGAAGACGTAGGGGTTGGCCCTCCGGTATATCCATATGGCCGGGCTCACTTCTATCCTGACCCTCTATCCACTTCTGCAGTAGCTCGAGGATCTCGCGATGTATCTCCTCGTCTCTAACCAGATTGTAGCCCTTCTCGCCCAGCTCCGCCATTCGGAAGGCCTCCTTCTCCAGCTCGGCCTCGGAGCCTAGCTTAGCCACGACGATATCACGGATCTTGTCGCGTAGCCACTGCCAGGAAGGATCATCAGCATAGCCACGAGCGGTGCGGGAACAAGATGTTGGTTGCTTGCTCATGTCGCTGTCTCGGCAGCAATCCTACAGGCGCCGGCTGCAAAAAACTCGTGTTTTGCATGTGGAAAGATCAGATCCATGAAGAAATCCTTTTCTTGAGAAACTTCGTTTGCAGTGCACAGTCGCAAAGTTTTCCTTTATAAAGGTTTAGGCCTTGTGCCATGCTGAGGTGGACTTATCCTCCTCAGCCGTAGTGCTCTCCAGGATCAAGTGGCAAGAGGCCACCACGAAAAACTCCACGTCCCACACGGCAACCTAGCTGCTGCCACAGGTGGCTAGTTCCACCCAAGAGCTCGCTAGCACTGAGCCCACGAAGCCAGGGCGTCCGGACGGCCTTCCCTTTTCGGCCCTTTGTCTCCTTCAAGGGGCATCACAGATCTTGCGCACTCTGCCCTGCGGCCATGCCTACTGCCAACAAGTCCTGCGGGTCCATGGTGTTTTTCGCCTTGGTCTTGCTGATCTTGGGCGTCGCGGTCTTTGCACTGGACGTCCCGGTAGGAAATGCCCGAAAATCTTCTCTGCCTTTGCCCATGCTTCCTCCGAGGCCACAGCTGACGGGGCCTGTCTAGCCCTTGCCCGTCCCCACGACCCACTCGCTGGAAAACGAGGAGCCTTCTCCACCATGGCTCCTGAAAAAACTTGAGCCCCGGGCCATGACAATCGACCTGCAGGTACGTGTACGCGAAGTGCATTTCCACACTTGCAGGACGTGTGCACAGGAATGCTGCTTTCAGCCGAGCCGCAGGCTGAAGGCGGGGAGCGGCCGACATGGAAAAGTCGACCGACACCGCTGGCACATTCAGATCGGGTTGTTGTTCTAGCCCCGTTTCTGTCACATGGGGCTTTGGCAACCAACGAGGGGCCCACTACCGCTTCCATCTTCGGAGCTCCAACTCCTTCTGTGCCCCCACCGATAGGCAAGGCATGATATCCTGGCCACATTCCGAAAATGGAACCAGAGATTGCATCACAGGGTAGGCAAAGGCCGATCAAGGCCAGCAGCGTCCACGCGAAGGGAAGCTGTGGCTGATTGAGGTAAAGTTGGGGAACCATCCCACAGCCTTCGAGTAAGCTCTGAAGGAGTGGTAGAGTGCAGGCTAGGACTCCCACCTAGCAACGGGAACCGATGAACCACGATTCAACCAAGCAGCCAAACACTGCACGGTACCCGGAGGTCTGCACGGGCATCTGAACAGCATGGTGAGAGGAAGAAAGCCTAGCTTTTGGAGAAGCTAGGGAGGAAAAAGGCAGGGGGGAGAATAGGGCCTCGGGGCCGGCAACACAGCGGTGTAACCCGAGGCCTTTGCCTGCGTCTTTGCAAATGACGTTCAACGTGACCTGGGAGCTTAAACATCTAATATATTTTTTAATATCTTTACACTACATACCCGGTGATTGCACACCGGATCATGATGCAGAACGACAGACCCACAGCCCATAAGCCAACATTCCACAAGCAAAGAAGTCAAGGCCAAGAACCCAATGAATCTCGATATGGATGCACAATGCCACGGGCAACATAATCAAAGAAACAAGAGGCCAAAAGCCAAGACGCACAGTCCAAAAGCAAAACAAAGAGTGGAAAAACAGGGCCCCCACAGCGTCCTTCTCTGTTCCAAAACAAGTTTGGTATTTCGCGAACAGAAGTTTGTTTCTACATGCATTCGACTTGTATGGTTTGAGATGTAGAAACCCGATAGGAGACTGCGGTCTAGAACAAACTCTTCAAACTTTGTCCCAGTTCGCGTGCGGATTTTGCCCCTAAAATTTAAAACCCGTTCTTTTGAGATCTATTTCCACAAGTGTTGTGCTTTCATTGCATTATATGTCTATATGGTTAGGACACAACCAAACCTCTTCCAAAACAATAAACGGGGTGCGAGCTCACTGCCTGCCAAAATGCTGTAGAAGCCCTGCCCCCTGGACAGCACACGTGGATGGATGTATACCGCAGCATGAACACTTTGTAAATTATCATAGGTATTCCCCAACACTGTTGCCATGTTTCGCACTGCCTCCCTGTATGTAGTGCGAAACATATGCACACATCATTTCAGGACCGTGTTAACTGGAAACCTGCACATACAACACATTTGTGACTGTTGTTTCGCATGTGGCACAGCAGTGCTTCGGAAAACCTATCTTGTAGTATGGCAATCGAAACCAGGGTATGAACATGATTGGATAGATCTGTTTTGTTTATTTCCTTCAACTAATGATGACAATGCTGGATTGCGACGTTGTCATATGTCACATAGATGCATTCGGAAAGCGATTAACGTTGAATACGCTGCCGTGATAAAAGCACAAGTTTTCTAATGCCGGAACTGATTTCACACAGACAACGGTGGGTCAAACTGTAGATTCAAAGTTTCTGATTAATCTAGATCCCCTATGTCATGTTTAACATGTAAATGAATCTGGATCTAGATGAGCAAATTGCACCGGAATTCATTTGTCAACTGCATGCACTTCGCGCGCATGCGGGAGCGAATCTCAACTTAGAGTGGCTGAAGCTCGCCAAATTGGTGGCCTCCACCAGGCTTGGCCTTGGGGGGGGGGCGGGGGGGGGGCGGGGGGGGGGGCGGGCGGGGGGGGGGGGGGGGGGGGGGGGGGGGGGGCGGGCGGGGGGGAGGCGGGGGGGGCAAAAAAGACTGCACGTTTGGCTTGATGTTTTTTTGCTCACCCCCACCTGCCGCCCTCAACTGCTGGCTGGAAGCTTCCCGCCCCAAGGTCCTAGCCATAGTCCTCCTCACGCTTTGAAAGGCTGATATTGCTTTGTGTTGCATCATATTTACAACAGTATATAACTACCTGTTTTGTGTGTACATGTTACAGCGTTTTTGTACGAACGAAATCTTAAACCATTCAACGGGGGACCTTTAAGCGACAATGCACAAAACGTGTGTGGAAAACCAGGGCACAGCGTCCAAACCGGAAAACCAGAAACCAGGCCCGCCAAAAAGCCAAGAGCAAAAACAAGTCCAAAAAGACCACAAGCCCTAATTAACAGAAGTGCACCTCCGTCTAGGACTTTGTCAGGTCCTGGCCATATCGGCTGAGGAGCACCATCCATGCTGTGAGCAGGGTTGCGTGCAGGGAGGCTTCGCAGCGCTGGCCACAGCTCCGAAGTGACTCCGTGAGCTCGGCACTCACCTCGAAGTCCTCAGTGAGGGGAAGGGAGGTGCAGCCCATGTGGGCTGCAGTGATGCATGCTACTTTAGCAGTGGTGGGACTGTCAAGATGTGTCCAGCATCAAGCTTGCTTCCTTTGAAGGTGGCTTTCCGTTCGCTTGCTGTTGCTCCAGGCAGATCCAGCACCGGTGGGGTCTTTTGGAGCTTCTGATGCCAGTAACTTCGGCTCCTCTGTCCCTCGTCGGACTGCAAGAAGCGCTCCTCCTCCAAGGCGTAGTCCCTGCGAGGCTTTGCAGTTAAGCGAGGCGGGAGGGGCGGGAGGCGAACGGCGGCTCTGGGCTTTAGCTATGGCTGAGGGGCCTGTACTGCGGGGCGCGGCTCGGCCAAGGAGGAGGCTCTTCAGACTCATGCTCACTATGCTCCAGATAATGCTCGTAGGCAAACTCGAGTTCCTGAAGCAGAATGGTGTAGCTCCACAAGTCGGCGCTCACGTGGTGGAGTGTCCAATGCAAGATCCAATTCTCCTCCGATTCCTGGAAGACACGGACCCTGCACAAAGGCCCAGCTTCGAGGTCAAAGGTCTCGTACTGCTGGTCCAAGAGCCACTCCAGCTCGAAGCCCATGACCCCTGAAGAAGCCCCTGGCATCTCCACGTGCCGGAAGTCCAGCGTGCTCTCTGCGATTGAGAGAATCTTGCAATCGTGCTCCAAAAAGACACTGCGAAGTGCATCGTGGCGGCAACAAAGGGCACGGAAGGCCTGCTGCAGGCAGCGAACCTTCAAGGACCCACGCACCTCAGGGAGACACAGAACGGAGATGTGCGGGGAGTTTTTCGGACCTGTGAGTTCGTCTTCCAGTGTGGCTGGGGCTCGGGCATGGCCGCAGAAGGCCAGATTTAAGGCTGCGGAGGCGGCAGCACTCACAGAGGCCATCCGTTGAAGTGAGAGCTGCTGAAATGAAGCGGGGTACGAGAAACTCCTCGTCTCGCTTTGCTCCTCGGCCTGCGTCACGGTGTTTTCTGCCTCTGCAGGTAGAGGACGCAGGCGCAGGCGGGCAGCCAATTGCTGCACACTCGGCGAGGAGTAAATGTCTGCTATGGCAGCATTAAGCTGCAGCTCCCTCCGGATCCGGTTTACCAACTGTCCCACAGAGATTGAATGCCCACCAAGGGCGAAGAAGGACGCCGAAACAGGCACCTTCAGTCGGGAGTCTGCACTCGGAGCGGCTGCTCGGCCGAATCCCTGCCGTTGCCTCCGAGACCTTCTTGCTCAAGACCACCGCGAAGACACCCCTCAACTCAGCCTCCAGTCGTCAGGGTGCAGACAGACATCAGGACATGTGCAATCTTTGCAAGCCTCCAGCTGTTCTGGCTCGCACTCCTCTGACGGCACCTGACGGCTGAGGTTGCTGCCGCATCTCGAGTCGCGTACCGAAGCCGGCATTAAGATCTGTCGGTGGAGTTAAGTCCAGTCATTCGACTCAGCAAGCGCCCCTCCTCGACTCCAAGACTGGGCGGAGGCAATGCCTTTCGATCAACCTTTCCATTGGCTGTCAAAGCCAGCTGGTCCATCTTCATGAAAACCTCCCGTTTGCAGGTATAGACGAAGAGACTTCATAGCAGAATTGACAACAAAACATCGGAACTCGGTAGCTGAGCAGTCCGGTCGAAAGGTGGGCTACCGCCACCGCGCAATGAAACAACCACGCTCTGCTCCGACTGCCGTGGCCCTCCCCTGCGGGCAACATCCAGGTTTCCATATGGTTACACGCTGAGCGCCGGATACGACGGGAGGACGTTCTGGTGACTTACCTGCACTTACGCTTGTGGCATTGTGCATGACGGCTTCTCTGTGCCTCGTTTTCGTGTTGCTTCATACTAAATGAAGCACCGGCATCTGGACTGCCTGTTTCTTGGCTTCCGCCCATTGAAGACATCGAGAGTCGTGATCCAGTGTAAGCTGGAATTTCAATGAATGCATACCGGTTCAATACTCTCAGTCTGTTGAGCGGATCTCGGCGCTCCCGCTTCGTAACATCATTCAACACATCTCCCTCTCCCTTCCACACAGCTTTAAGTTTTAGGCAGCTCTGAGACCATGCCATGTGCATTTAAGTTGTCGGCAGGTTCGCTTCACTGTCGCTCTCATCCTATGGTCGCCTCGTGCATGTGTCCTTCGCGACTGCAGCCCTTTCCATGTTTCTTCAGAGCAAAGGTGGCAGGCCTTTGGGATCATGTACTCTGGCAAGTCTGCTTGCAAATGCTGCTCAAGATCGGGAGTGTCTGAAACTCCTGCAAGACACATAGGAACTAAGCTGCTCTCACGCCATCCATCCCGGCTCCTGCTTTGGGTGTCCAGTAACCCACCAGGATCTTGTCGTGATCCGGGAGCTCGTGGCAGTTTACGACGCACTCCCGAACGGCCTGGTGGTCATTGATACATGTACGGCATATTTCGTGCATATGTACATATATACATCTACACAGATATACATATATACATATAAACTTTTTTGTGCATGTGCCCACCTCCCTACCTACATACATACACATACATATATATAATATAATATAATACAATTTAATATAATATATAATATATTATAATATGTTATAATATAATATAATATAATATAACAAAATATAATATAATATAATATAATATAACATAATATAATAAAATATAATATAATAGAATAGAATAGAATCTAATCTAATCTAATATAATATAATACAATACAATATAATATAATACAATATAATACAATAAAATATAATATAATATAATACAATATAATATAATACAATATGATCTAATACAATATAATATAATACAATATAATATAATACAGTATAATATAAAGAAATATAATATAATATAATATAATATAACCGACCATATAGTATACAATATATATAATCCAATAATATAATATAATATAACCAAATATTAGTAATATATCTAAACAATATAATTAATATAATATGATATAATAAATATATAATATAATATATAAATATATATACTAATATATATAATATTAATAAATATAATATATATATACTATAATATAATACAATATAATCTAATATAATATATATATATATATATATATATATATTTACACACATGCGCACATACATTTGTTATACATATGTAAATGTACACCACATATATATATATATATATATATATACCTATACATATACATATACATATGCATATGCATATGCATATACATATACATATACATATACATATATGCATATATACATATGTGTACATCTTTGCATAGATACATATACACATGTATACATATATATATATGCACATATACATATAAACATACATACATGTACATACAAATACACATATACATCTACATTGCCATATACATGTACATAAACACATCCATCCAGGCATGCATGCATGCATACATATGTATATATTTAACTATATGCATATATAACTAACTACATATATACATAAAAACAAAACAATATATATATATATACACACACGTGTATGTATATATAGATATACTTACATACATATGTGCCTACCTGCATATATGCACATATGCATATATACACAGGGACAAAGAGACATATAGACCAACAGGCAGAGACATGGAGACCTACAGACATAGAGACATATGAGACACATAGACATACAGACATATGTACATACAGATGTGTAAATTCAGAATATAATATACATATACATGTACATATACATATGCATGTGCATACACATATACATAAACAGATACGGGTACATATACATATTATGCATTAGAAAATACATGTACATGTACATATGCGTATACATATCCATATACATCGGCATCTACCTATACCTATGCCTGTACATATACCTATACCTATACGAGTACAGATGTAGATAAAGCTAGAGCTACAGATACCGATCTAGATTTAGACATAGATATAGATTAAATACAGTGTTAGAATGGATACAGATGTATGTAGACACAGATACAAGAAATGAGACTCGGCCTCAGGCAAAAACATCGAATGTCGCTGTGGGGCTTGATTTCTTGCGCAGTTCTGCGGGAGAAGCCTACTGCTCGAGTCAGTGAGGAGGACAGGGCGGAGAAGCGGGGAGTTACAGCGTCGACAATTAAGTCATGGCAGGATGAAAAGATGGTGGCCACTCCTCTTTCCAACGCCTGCATGCTCCATCGTCCATGCATGGGTTCGTACGTACTCATGGACGAAACTTTGCCAGACCTTGCTCAATAAACCTCCTGGCCTGATGTTGAAGCATTTTCGCCTCGATCTCGCCGAGTTCGATTCGCTGACCCCTGATCTTGACCTTCAGCCACTTCAGCATGCAAACGCTGAACAGAGACAGTGGCATGCGCGACCTGGCAATCGATGCGACCGCAGTAAAGCAGAGATCCGTCGTCCACCCACCGTACCAGGTCACCTGTCTTGTAGAGGCGCGGACCTCAACTAGAAAAAGCAGACGGCACTACTAAGTCAAGGCGTTCACGGCTGAGGCATTCACCGTGGAGAGGGGAAGACTCGATAGAGCGAACCACCCACGAAGGTCCCTGCAATAGAACTAACATGCAAACCCAGCTCGTACAACCGTCCCTTTGGTGGCGGCAGGTGCCTCCCAAGAAGGGCCCGGCCCTGCACGCCCCTTCCAGCCCGGTCCACGTGGCCACCGCGTTGGCCCCTACACGGAAAGGAGCAGTGATGTAGCACTGGCGCCATCTCTGAAACTGGAAAGCACAAAACGAACGCTTGCGCCTGGTCATCTGTTCGGCCTTCGAAAGGGTTCGACCTGGCATTTTTTGGCATGCCCAGCATTCTGGGATGATGCACGCAGGTCTCTACAGTCAACTCAGCACTCGCAGCACATTGGGGTACCGATGAAGGATCGATGAAGTGGGTCATCAACATGCAAGACACCACGCTTCATGAGCGGTAAAGACTGTATAATCTCGTTACGTCAAAAGCTTGCTGTGGCCCGTGCTTGCATGATACGTATGCACTCAAGAACCGTGCGCACAGACTGCGAGTCGTGGCATTTCATCATCCACACCGGGAAGGGCGCGCACTTGCAATTGTCAACCTACTCTCCGGCCCTGAATTTCCAATGCGTTGGCAGCACACAAATCTTGCGGCTGTCAGGTCCAGGCGATTCAAATATCCCGCAGCCACCTAACCACGGTTGACGACCCAACACAAGGCTTGGACCACATGGAGCATTCTGGGCGACCAGCTTGGGGTCCTCCAACACAAAGCTCTCCAACGAGCCCACACCTTAGAACAGGGCACCGTACCATGCTTGGTAAGTTCCATGCATCCGACTCCAGGTGCTCCCGCGGCTGCGGCCTCATGTCCGGATCCTTATCACAGCAATGCACAACGATCAAAGCGAGGTTTAAGAAGGTGACTGTGCGAATACCGATAACCAGAAAGCACTGACCACGATAGCAAAGCAGAATGCGGCGCAGCGGTCCCAACCCTTGTTTTTTCGCAGGCCCGAGATTGTCAACGGGCCGGAACACTCTGCGTGGTACCGTATGTGGTCCCACAGATAATCACTGCTCTGCACAAGTACGTACCTTATGTTCAGTTGAACCAAACACGGCGGAACCTGTCTGAGCATTCCTATAACCTCAACAAGTCAGGAAACGTTGTCTCGAGAATATCATGCTCGTTGCCCTCGATGCTTTATTCAGTGACCTCCATTTGGCCCTGAGGCGCACAGAGCTTCGTCACAAAATTGTCACTGTGGTCGAAAGCTTGCTGAGGTATAATCACTGCTGCTGACCCTACGTCACCTCCTTCGCAATCCCATAGGACCGTCCATACGTGTCATTCACACATAGTTCCCAGTCGCATCCATCCCTGACTCACAGGGACTTCGTTCCCTCGCAGAACGACCTGTCAGTGGAAATTGCGACTGAAAGGCTCAAAGATCACCTGCTGGTGTGCCTGTACCACTACAAATGACTACAAAGGTATGCGTCCGATGGGCTTTGAAGTGGCAGGGCCGAGGATCAATCCTGCCCAGCAGTCCATGTTCACTTTCAACGATAAAGCATGTTGGGATCGAACAAACATCGGCGCTCGCATGCAAAGCCATGCCGATCTGACAAGCAAGACTTTCCATTCTTCAGTTTGACACCGACACCACCCGCAACACAAGCCAGGCAGAGTCGGAGTTCTTTCCTAAGACTTAATTAAGTTAAGCGAGATCCACATGCGTAGCTTTCACTGCGGTCCATGTGTATCTTGTCCTTCACACCGCAAAATTGAACGTGATCTTGAATAACTTTAGTAGGCGCAGGTACCTTAGTAACGTCATGTCCATTACATATAAACCGATCTCGCCGCGAGATGAGCGCAAGTCTGATCCGGCCAACGGCGAGGAGGGGGAGGAGGAGGAGGAGGAGGAGGAGGAGGGAGGGAGGGAGGGAGGGAGGGAGGGAGGGAGGGAGGGAGGAGGAGGAGGAGGAGGAGGAGGAGGAGGAAGCGGGCAAAACATGAGGAAAGGGCCGCGATTAAGAAGCTATTGGCCGCAGTAGCCGAAGACGGCGACTCAGGGGAGGGAGAGTGAGTCGGAGGCCGGGGTGAGGAAACAGGCAAGGCCGCAGCGCCAACCGAGACCGAGAAATCAAGCGGACGGAGTGAGTGCAACACCGACCCCCGGAAGAAAGGGTGCCTGATCCAACGGTGAGGGAGGTACCGACGTGTTCGGAGCAACGGCCAACGGAACAGAAGCCAAGGCCCCGGAAAGCAACGGTGCAGCCGCGGGCGACACGGCACCACATTCTACCTGAGCGGAGGGGGCTTAGGTGCAGAACAGACCAAACTAGCGACAGCTTTGCAAAAGAGGAGGCTGGTGCAGCACCGGACAGAAACGCACTCGGCTCAGAGTGCTCAGCAGGTCCTGAAGCAGACACCCCAGCGGCCAGCAAGTCCTGCAGGGCCTGTGCATGACAATGACAAGGCACAAAGCAGCATGCACAACAGACCGTCGGGTAATCCCACTTCTTTGCGCAGGGGCCGGGCGGAAAAGGATCCCGGACGGTTGGAGCATCAGTGGCCCTTTGAGGCAGTTGATGCTAGTGTGCGTCGTGTGGGCAATGCTCCCCGAGCATAATCGGACGGAAGCAGATTGCCTATGCACCGGAACCCGTGCTCATTGGCGGACCACCTGGTGCAAGCGTGGTTATAAATGGTACAATACCCGCGGACGGGTAGTGCGGCAGGAGCCTGCAGCAGATAAGCAAAGCTGAGGCACCCAGCACAACAAGTACAAGGACGGAAGCCAGCAAGCTGCGACAGTCCTTTTCCAAAACAGCCCCGGAACGGCAGAGCCAAGGGCGTGAGCAGACCCCTGTGCAGCGTGATGTCGGAATCGGTCCTCCTGACAGACAGGGTGAGGAGCAATCACCCAAGGTACAGAAAATCCACGTTCTCCCACAGCGGCCGGGGCCGGAGGGGAAGAGCGAGACCTCTCGCTTGAAGAAGAACAAGCCATGGCTCACAACCTACGGCCGGAGACGCCTAGCAAGAGCTCACGACCAGACACGAACGACAAATGAACGGAACGGCATGGGCAGAACACTCAAAGCAGAAATGCAACCGACCGTGGCTGGGAGCCGATGGCTTTGGGCGGTCGGTTGCCGTCGCGTCCTAAGCCCAAACACACCGAATCACACCCAGTAACATGCCTATCCCGGCACACGCAACTCAGGTAGTCCGCCAGAAGTGAGTCCACCACCTCGGATTGCATGTTCACCAAGCCGCGGGCGCTCGCGAACTCGATGCAAACCTTTATAAACACTAATACGGCATTTGCCCTCCGAGAAAGACGGTGGCGTTTGATGCGGGGGTGCGGCTTTTTGTCGAATTCTGAAAAGAGACGTTGAATGCTGTTGCACTCCCAAGCGTGACCACCTCTGACTGGTTTTGACAAGCGCCAAAACCCTGGCATTCGGAACGCTCCAATGCCTTGGCCAATCGGCGGCTTGAGGTGAGCATCTTCGCGAACTCCAGCCGTGCTAGCCTACTACGAACGAAGCTTTCTTGCTTTTTCACTCGTTCGCATCTGCTGAGTCAGCAGAGAAGTTGCAATGGCTTGGGGACCACACGTCTAACCAGGGCTGTGAAGCAGCTGTGACAATGTAAGTTCGGTTTCGTAGCGCAAAGGCAAGTGCCAGGCCCTAGCAGCAGGGTTAGGGGCAGTCAATGGCACAGGTTGCGGCAAAGCAACGCATGAATCCCGGTGGGGAGACGTCAAACCAGGATGCACTGAAAGGCACAACAAGATCCAAGGCCATTGCGATGCGCGAACTAGTATTGGTTGGCAGCACCGACGCGACTTGCTCGACCACATGTTGATGGCTCGGTAAAAACTCTGGTGCACTTGCTTAAGCTACAAGCCGAAGACACAGAGCACCGAAGAGACTTGCTCGACCAGACCAGAATCGTTGCTTTGGGTGCAGGGCAGGGGTGGAAACCACTTGCCTGAGCCAGCGACAGAAGTGCCGTTGCACAAGATGGGGGTGGAGTTGAGACAACTAGCCCATCTGTATTGTTGTAGCAGGTGGCTGTTTGTGTGTCACGGACCAGAGGCCCCGGAGACGATTCTAGGAATCTCAACAGCCGTTTCAGAAACTATGTACAGGGTCTCAGAAATCTATGTCCACTGGTTCAGAACCGCCCGGAACCGTTCCAAACTGTTGCGAACCGTTCCTGAGATGCATGCACGACCATGCCGAGCCATAGGAACCGTTCCTTGATATCGTGCGTCCGCGTACCTCAACAGTCCCTGCAATTCGCAAAACAATTGTTAAAGCATCTCCAACAGGTTCTGAGATTTGCGAATCAATTCCTAAGACAAACCCCCATGCGACACAAGCCCCTGAACAACAAAAACACCTATTACTCCAGAACACAAACACCAGGGCAAGGAGTAAACACAAACTTCCAGCACGCCAGCGGTGAGCCTGCAGCTGTTCTTGACTCGAGTCTGCAGCTCCAAACAACGGAGTTCCGAACGCCTAAAGGCTGCTAAAAGGATCGCTTCAGAACGTGGACTGGTCTGTTCGCTGTGCTGCCATCCACACACTTCCCCCTCCATAACGTTCTGCCGGGTCCACTCTCCCAAGCGGATTGGGAGAGAACCTTCACCTTTGGCATCCTCCGGGCGCCAAATTTGTGTTCTGTAAGGACTGGATCATTGCGCCGCTGGACCGGATGGGCTCAACAACTGTGAGAAATGGCAGATACAAACCCAAAATCTCCTGTATGGTACCACACCGTGAAGCCTTCACAGCTATCCACGCAAGCCACACATATGGCCAGACCGTCACAGCTTTGCAGTTGGCTTTCTCGCTTTTTACTTACCAATGCAACGCTGGAAAGGCACGGGGGCAGCCCGCCCACTGCCTACGCTGCTTCAATCTCCGAAGAAGTGGCACCATTCAACAAAATACCAACCGGTGTGAGTGCAGATGAACGCTTGCAAGCATACCAAGCGCATTGAAGGTGTCTGGATGAGCGACGCAGGATGGCGTGCACGACATGCCCCTGAACGAACGGGAAAGGAAAAGCAGGAAATCCGACCAACACACCAAGCTCTCCGACCCCGAACTACCATTTCAGTTACGACTTGAGCCCGAGGTTTTGAGAGTTTGTCGCCGCTGCTGGGTCCCGATGGCACCCCCCTGACCACGAAATACATGTCAGTGTGTCTACACTCAAGGTTTGCCATCCAAACGATTAGTCTCAGCTGCGTCTTCGACCTCCAAGACTTTAGCAACAGGCACAGGCGCGGCACCAGATCGGAGAGAGAACTGGTCAAGCGTTGCCGTTCCACATAACGTTACATTATGACACGTGAAAACCTCGGTAACCTGATCAACTAGAAGCAGGAGCAACTGCATCCAGCATGCACCGACCTTGGTGAGCCCCATGTTGTCACAGCTGCCATTGCACCTTAGCCTACCTCGCGCGGCGACCCCACAACACCCGGACAGACAGGAGGAAGCCAAACCCACATATGTCCAGCCGGTGCAACTTCCAATGGCTCGAATCTCAAGGGCAAACCAGCAGTCGCCCACTGTCCGGAGACGGGAATTGTACACTGGAAGTTGGGCACGTCATCACCCACCAACGACAAGCACTCGTCGTGCAAGTCAAGATCGACAGTTGGCACATACCGGGACTTTCCACATCAACCATCAGAAAGAGCCATCACTGTAGTACACCACCACAAGAGGATGCTTGACAGGAAACATCGTCAAAATCAGAGCTTTACTCAAGCACATGACCGCCGGCAAATGAGCAGAGAATCTTTCCGATGTCTTGGCATCAAGCCGAAAAGTCGGGTCTGTTGGCCAGCCCCCGACTCCCCGAAGAGCGGTCTGAGACGAACGGCTGCAGAGGACTTGGCGTTTACGATGCACACCGATAAACAACTTATGATGCTGAGGCCCCCCGCCCATTCCAAGGATTCCCAAAACACGATGCGTACTGTCAGGACCCCTGCTGAACTCAGGCACCAACAAGCACGTACAGCTGCATGTTGGGAACCGGCTCTCCCTTGGTAAAAATTTCAGTTCCCGTCACATGCCGTCCCACGAGGACTCTGAGAAGTGCGCGATCGAAGGCAAACCCTCGCCAGGACAGACCCGGCACCTCGCCAAGCGAATGGCCAGCGCACCGCCGCCATAGCCCTTTTCATTTTGTTGCAATCGAAATGCAATCCAAGGGGGCGGCATGGTGACATTCACGCAGCATTCCGTCGGGCCTGATTCGGACGTAGCGTGACCCCTATGCTCTGTTCTGACTGCAGACTTCCGGGTCGCAGGGCCGTAGATATTGACAAGCTGAAAGGGAGCGTGGTGCGGCGGACGCATGTGGAGCTTGTCGCCGCCCGTGAACTCACACGCAAGTATGGCAGGAAGCCTGCGTGCTTTTGGAGCCTTGCATCCAAGCTCCCTGCCAAAGTGCGAAGCCTCGGATTCTGATCACTGTCCCACCGACCCCTTGACACAACACACCAAGAGTGCCTCATTGAGGGATAGTGAGGTTCTGCCAGTACCGCCTGCCGACTGCTCTTTTCCCGTATCCCCGATGCAACCTGCAACGTGACGACATGTCGACAGAGCTGCAGCCTCAGCCAGCTGCGTGGTCAGAAAAGCCACAGTTGCTCCAGCCTCAAGAAAGCAGAACGCACACACAAGTGCTGAGGCAAGCTTTTGTGCCTCGGCATACCATTTGCACAGCGCCTGCCCACGCGTTCTGCTTTGCAGTTCGCTTGCGGAGATGCCATGACATGATTCTTCACGGACCAAGCCCGGATTTCAACTGCGCATACAGTCAAGTGACTCAGTCAAGACTGGCCAGTGCGCGAAAACTGGATGCTGCAGGAAGATGTTTGTCACTTTTTGCTGCGTTCTGCATGCCAGCCTCTGGAAGCAGACGCAAGTTGTCATCGGGAACAGGAAGCACGCAGCCTTGCAAGGAGCGCCCGGTCCGAGTCGCACCATCGTTAAGGTAAAAGTACAGGCATTAAGTAAGGGATTGTGATTGCACTTGTCTGGGCTGCCATGCCCCCAACGCTGAGTGTTGGCCAAATCTCCTCACACCGCGGAGCAGTGCAGTGCGTGCAGTGCCTCTCATGCGTTGCGCCGACATGAGTGAGAGGGTGCCGCGGGCTCCGCCAAGGAGGCATCGAAGGACAGCCCGGCGGCGTGAGGAACGCGGTCCTTTCAAGGCCGCCCGAGTGGCAGCAGCCGCACATAGCTGCCAAAGCTTCGTGGCTTCGTTCCGCTCTCCTCGTGAGTCAACTGGTAGTAGGGCACATGCCAGCGAGTGTAGGCCAAGACGTTCTGGTGCGTGAGGAGAACTCCCTGGCGCACGCCGGAAACGTGCTGCACGGCAGGCCCAAAGGTCGCTCCTTGGGTACCCCCGTCGAGCCGCTGGTGAAGAGGACATAGGCCTGTTCATGGCTTCCACCGTGGCTTCAGGCTTTGCTTGGCGGAGCCAAGATGAGCACCACATCATCGCGAGCATAAGTTGGCCACCCTTGAACGCCTGGCTCGCCTGGCTCGACTCTCGACCGCCAGCCAAGCGGAACAGCGAAGCTCTCTTGCATTCACTCCAGTTTCACTGCCTTCACTAAGGCTCTTTGCTGCCACGTCTTGGAAGTCCTCCATGTAGAGAATCGCTGTTGCTGGGCATTGCAGCCACGTCAGCTGCAAATCCCGTTTTGTGATTGCAAGGCGCACCTGGCACTGTCTTCTCTCTTGACAGCACAAGCTCATGGCCAATCTGCCTCCGCATCCCTGAGCATCTGCTCCTAAGTGCACGAGCGCTTTACACATCTCTGCCGAGCAGCTGAGCTGAGCTGAGCCAGCTGCCAGCCGTGGTCTAGGAGCGCGGAGGTCCAGTGGCACGCAAGAGCCCCCGGCGCCTCGAAGCGGGAACGGAGGCTCGGCGAGGCGAGGCTCTGGGCGAGGCTCGTCTGAGTCTCTGAGGGTCCCAGCGCCAGACACCAAGCAGCGCAAGCACCTCAGAGTCATCAAGGAATGCCTGCGTCCGCATCCTGCCCGGCTCGGTGCGATGCCATTGAGACGCCACGAGCAAGAAGGACCGCGACTGCACCGACTTCGGGCAAAGCCTTTAAACCGGCACTGGCAGCTGCAGGCAGCTGCAGGCTCGACCGTGACACGGTGACGATCCGTGACGTGCCTGTCTGGCGACCGCGACCGCCACGCGGCCGGCGAGCAACCACAGCTGTGCATAGCTCAGGGGAGAGAACATGTCACCGTCCTGAACCTAACCAGGGAAAGACCAGAACATGCATTGCACAATTGCACGTGGACATGCGCTGGGGCACGCACCACAGCAGAACGTGCAGGCATGTCCACTGCCACGCGTGCAACGAGGTCCAGAACTGATGTCTCGCAGCTGGAAGTGGTGGTGGTCAGGTTAAAGCTTCCGAGGACCTGCCGGTCCTGACCGCTTCAGCCTTTACAACGGCAAGATTCCAGATACCTCTGGCGCAGAAGTGTCCTCTTCCTGCGAAGTCCACACCCACTCGCAGACACGCGATTCAGAGCCACGGCCCAGCTGGAGCAAGCGGCCGAGGTGATCCTTGTTCCGGGCCGTCTGCATAACATGGGCTCATCATTCTGCCTCTCCTGCGCGCGTCGAACGAAGATCTCCGAGAAGCAGGACGTCCGCCAGAGCCACCTCAGAGCTTTGTACATCCTTGTACGGCTTTCATCAGATTTCCTGCATGGCCGATGGGCTGCCTCTCGTGATGACCTGAAAACCTCCAAAAAGACTGGTCTAAGTCCAAGTGCCAAGGAACTTTATCAACTTGCCATCCGGCCCCGAGCACCTGCAAACCATGAGCTCGAAACCTGCAAGCTGAAGCTCAAGGAAGGAGAAAACCAGCGCAGCGCAGCGCAGCTCAGATCAGCTCAAGTTAAAGCGCGCACACCACACGACAACACACGACCACTGCACGCCGCGACTGCTGACCGAACACCACCGCTGCGAGGCGGGGAGCCATGCGGTGCGGCGGTGCGGGGAGCCTGCTGGAGCGCTGCCTGCGCCGAGCCGCACCGTCCCGTCCTCGCAGAGGCAGAGAGCAGAGCACTCCGCGCCCCGCGGCCGCGGCACTGCGTCCCGTCCTTCTGGGCGTCTCCGTCCCCAACCATGACCTCAGAACTGAGACTCGCAGCGCCGTTCTATGGCCCTTTGCATGGCACAGCCCAGGCCCAACCCTTCGCCTGGGTAAATTCGGCGGTGGCTTCAGCCTCACCCTCAGCGACCTGCGACTTCGCTTCGAGCTGCGCTCTGCAGAACGCACAGATTTTCACGCCTTCAAGTCCTCGAAGGAACAGGAAGAAACCTCTGACGTCTTTGAGGGATCCCCGTGACATCACGATTGCTGTCGAGGGCGCCTCTGTGACCCTCACGGTTCGTAAGCTTCTTGGCAGCCCCGCCTTCGCACAGCGGCTTACTGCTGTGCTCGCTCGGCTGCACTCTGCTTCCAAGCTGCTGCTGCCTGGACGTTCAGGAGGCCCAATGCCAAATCTTCTTGGTGGCTATACTTGTGAAGCAGCACGAAAAGGGCTGCAACCACTTCCTTGAAGTCGGGGAAGTCCCCGTCCTCACCACGTTCACACAAAAGCTGGCATGGTTCGGAAGACCCCTTGCGCCCTTGCACGCTCCTGCCCTCCCCAAGGCAACACCAACTCTGCGAAACTGGGCAGAGCACATGTCCTGATGCCGCAAAGCGTGCTGTGGGAATGCAAGACTCAAACACTAAGCGCCCATGCGGGATCTTAGGTCTCAGTGCCCAGCGGCTCGGGCACATCCTCAAAATGTAAATCGATGTAAGGCAAGCCTTAGGATCACTGGCAAAGCTGACTGCGTAGCGGTGTGCGATGGACTCACTCTTCTGTTCAAGCCTTCGCTGGCCATTTTCGCCGATAACGGGCAGCACTGCGTCCATCACCGCAGCCCTCCCGTCCAAACAGCTTCTTGTCCCCATTCCAGGTTCCATGACGCCGTTGCGTCAGTTACGCACGCATACCAAATAGCTCGTTTGCACTAGAAGCTTGACTGATGCTTAGGAGAACTTGAGCCAACGCTTCGGCAAGCGCTTGCTTGTGCCACGTGCGAGAACCAGGCCGTCCCTTTCAGCTCTGAGTCCCTGGCCCTCTGTTTTCTTTTTCCCTTGCCCTGGAAGACTTCGACTTTCGCACAGCGGCGCTAAACCGCTGGGCCGGCGTACAGCCGCCGGGTCGTAAGGACTCTCAGACCCCGCCCTGCTAGATCATAGTGCCGAAGACACACCGGGTCCTAGCGACAGCTCTCATGGCATCGCAAAATCATCGCATCTCATCCCGGTCCCGCAGTTCGAGATCGCCCGCGAGGAGCTTCATGCACAGGTAGGGGATGCCTGCCTCCATCAATCCATCTTCAAAACGAATGAAAACGATGCAGCTAGCGCGCCGCGCAGAGTCGCTGCTCCTCGGAAGTGATCCGGCCCTTCAGCTGCGCTACAGTGGTGTCGCCCGTGACGCTCTCCTGCCAGGCCAGGACGTCTCCCTGACATCTCGCAGCTCGTGGTGCCCGCTCCCTAATCTGTCGTCCCGAAGGGAGCTCACACCTCACCAGGTCACCATGCCATCGCATGAGAAGGAGACGTGCGACGAGTGCATGGAAGCACAAATACTGATTCCGAAGTCTCACCCAAGGCACTCGAGGTCAAAGGCTGCGCAGCCTCCCAAGTGCACAATGGGGCCTCCAGGACACTCGTCCGGAACCTCACTGTACCGTCTTGACCCCCCAATGTGTGACTGACCGAAACAAGCCACCGACGATGTTGTACTCCAAGAGGGTTGCTTCCTGCGATGCGCTAACCCGCTGGCCAATGGCCCAGTTGCTAACGGAAAACGCTGGTCTCCTCGTCCAACAGCTCCACCCCATTGAAAAACAGAGGCTCTTCGGCCTTCCACATAAAAACAACGACCAAGAAACAGCAGCGAATTAAGCGTTCGCTGTCATGCTTCCAAGTGGCTTCGCCCATCCTGGCCTGAAGCAAAAACCAATGTGGCTGCGTTTGTTGCACAGTCTGCCGTTCGAAATTTGTGGGAATGCCTTCACGTCCTGCTTCAGATCATGGATCGTGTCTGTCTCCTCGCAAGTTTGGGCAGCCTGCGGTTAGACGGTTAGAGTTAGAGGTGCTTTCATCAGCCGGTCCTCAACCGTCAAGAGCAAGATATTCTGCTGCCTGAGATGTACTGTCGCAACCCTCAGCTCGGTCGGAAAGCAGCGAAATCATAGTGCCGTGAGAATGCCGATTCTTGACGCATATCTCATACGGCATGGCCCAGACACCTCGGAAACAAGAAAAGCTCTTCAAAGGCCAATGCGTCCAAGCCCAAGGCTCGAGCCCGATTTGGGACAAGCTTTTGGTCTTCAAGTGCAGGCAGCCGAGAGGGCCGAGTCGCAACAAGAACAACACAAGCGGAATCAAGAAAGCAGAAAGCACTGCTCCAAGACATCGCCCCGCAGCCTCCGTGACTTTTCTTCGCCGACAGCGGACTTTGGCCTGCCGGATCCCTCGAAGGCCGCCGCGGCACTTTGGCCTTCAGCTGCAATCGTTAGCGTCCCCGCAGCACCTCAGTCCGTCGTCGTTCAGTACGTCGGCTCGCGAAGTCTGGGAGTCTCAGCTGAGGGCTGAAAGACATTTAGTCCGAAGATCTCTACGCCACTTCCTGCAGGATTTCCTGAGTTCTTCCTCCGAAAATTCGAGGCACCTGAGGGCCGGCGCAAGGGCGAAAGCACGCTTCAATCCAGCACAGCATTGCTGCGAGACTTTTCTTCGGGCTCCAAGCGTCGTCTGAGCAGTTCAATCGATCGCCCGGCAAAGTATGTCACCACTTCCTGCATTGCTTGCATTGCTTGGGCTTTGCTCTGCCGAAGTGCACTGAGACTCTACACTATGTTCCTTGCTTGGGCGCTTCAATGAACTCCAGAATCCACATCGGAAAAAGTAGGTCTTCCGAGACTGCAAATGCCGCTTCTCTTCTCCAGCACCTTCTGGAGAAACAGGCATCTCTCTCTCTCACACACACACACACATATGCACATGGGCGCTCTTGTGCCTGCCAAGGTATAGAGCACCAGGTGAAGTGGAGGTTTGCCACAGTAGAGATTCAGATCCAGCGGCGTGAAGATCGGGATGCCTGTGGCCTTGCAGCAATGGCAAAAGCAATTCAGGTCAAGAAATGCCCCACCGACCTGCCATTCGATGACGTCGCAGAAGCGGCTCACCCCCCAGAAGCAGAAAGTGAAGGTAGGCCCGGGCCTGGCCGCGTTTTCCCCCGTAGGGGGACTGCGTAAAAGGGCGTTGCCCTTTGCCGGCACCTGAGGTCCAAGGAGTCCACCATTCGACGGTACTCTCGCAGCTGACCGTACCTTTTGTGGCCATGCTCCTTACCATAGCGAGTGGGAGCAGTGAGCGTTTCAGGCCGCTGCACTGAGTCAACTGCATGGAGATTCGGATCCGTCAGTTCAGGTGGCGTCTCACCCTCAGGCGTCTCGATGAACTGGTCGAAGGTCTCATCACATGACTGCTACTCGTCTGCCACTACTGCCGCGTTGTTGCCGCCGGATGGCTTGGGCTGCGGCCCACAAAGGCATTGCGATCGTGGGACGCTCTCTCTCGCCCACCACCTCCAACAGCATGAGCTCACGAAGCTGAGCTTCTCTTTCATCTGCTTCGCGCATCCTCTGTAGGATCACCAGCGGTGTGGTAAAGCCGATCACCGACAACCTGGCGCATGCCGCCGACCTCAGCATGTACGACTTTGTCGAGGGGCTAAGGCGGCTAAGACGTCTAAGGCGCTGAAAGATCCATCACACGCCTCGTCTCCGACATTCTCCGACTCGCTCCAACTACGGCACTCCGCGCAGACTCTGAGCATCCAGGCTTGGTCGCAGCCGAAAGTGGCACATACTCCTGAAAACGCCAGCTCCGAGCACTCAGGCAGCTGACCTGACACAGCAAATCTCCTCCGGTCCCCTCCAGTCCTCGAGTTCAGCTGCAAAGAAAAGATCCGACTGGTTGAGGTGTCTCTTGAATTGTAGGCGCAAGCGGAGCTCCCACAAGCGCCTGACGCGGCACCAGAAGCGAGAGTGCCCGCTCGTGCAGCAAACATGCCAAATGTCTCTTTTTGCCAGTGAAGTGCTCGCCATAGCGGTACTGGCCCGATTCGTTGAGTCGACTGCAAAAAATGCCGCCAGAGACAAAAATGTCAGGCGCGAAAGGTGCTGCAAGTGTGATCTACATGTGTCAACCATGTCTGCACCTATCGTACGTTGGACGATGCAGAGGTAGGAACTGGCCCTTGCAGTTCCTGAGTTTCGTCATGAAACATGCACGTGCTGCGATGTCCATCTGCCAACGAGCGTCTCGTTGTCAAAGTCGAAAGCTTCAGCACTGTTGCTGTGAATAAGCCTGTTGGGCGGCTGAAACCTGAAAGCAGCACGCTTCTGCTTTCGGAAATACTCAATGACCGCTGATCAATGCTCGGACGCACACCCTCCCTCCAAGTGGGGCTGCTCCGGCATGCCCATGGACAAAAAATCCTGCGGGAGTTCGTCGACTTGCAAGCCATGTGGATGGATGTGATGGCCTCCGACCTCCTCGTCGAATTCAACAAGGCTGGCTGCAGCTGTGGCAGTACCGCTCGCAGCCTGCCGAATCATGGTGGCTTCGAAATCGAAGCTTACCGGACATGCACCCGCTTGATGCCAACGGAAGACAGGAGAAACGCCTGGCAAAAACACATGGAGCTAATTTTGCAGCAATGCTTCACATCCTGCGCGAGCTGCTGAGCCCGCAACACCTATCAAGATGGCCAGTATCAAACTGCTTGCGAAAGTCCAAACCTGTGTTCAGGGATGGGGCACACGTTGCTGAATCCAATCACGGAGGCGCATTTCTTGTTTGTAACACCTCGGCATGGCCCAGCACCGACGCTGCGGTAAACATACTCGCTGGCGTGGCCTGCAATCGAAGCTGAAGTAGGGACTCTAGACCCTATCAGCGGCCTCGGCGTCCTCATGCCTTTGCATAGCAAACGAATAGAACCATAGAACTAAAGAACTATAGAACCACGAACGACTGGAGCTGTGTCTTGGCTTCCCAAATTCCGGCTATGCGTCTATTTGGAGCCCCAGTGCCGCAGCAAAGGATTTGTGCAGCTCCGCTGAACCTATTTCGTGCAAGGACAAGGCTCTGTGAAGGTGTCGACCGAGTGGCTTCAAATGGAGAACGTCAAAGGATTTCGCAACTCAAACCTTGCTACGTGAATTGACGTGGGGTTGATCTTTTTTCTTTCTCAAGGATAGGGGTGCTCCTTTATCGTATGGGTATCCAACTACCAGAAGTACCCTTTTCAACTACCAGAAGTACCCTTTTGAGAAAGCTTCTTAACCCTATAAATGATTTTTGAACCAGCAATCTGCACACGCCTCCGGCACCATGAGCAAATTTGGCAGGATCCCCGACATGGAGCAGGCATTTTCCAAAGCATCTGAACGAACAACTCTTCCTGCCACAGTTCCTCCTAGTACGTTCTTTCACTTGAATTGCGAGGCGAAAGAAATAATGGAACTGTCGTCGCGGCTACATGGATTTCTTTCTCGCCCTGCCCCCCCCCCCTGTGCCCTCTCCGAAACCAATGCACAATCCAAACGGCCAGCCATGGCAATCGGAGGCACGTGCACCGTTTCGAAGGACATGTTGAGGCTAGTTTGCAGCGTTTTCGCAGCCCACTTTTAAATGCTAAGCCTAGCTGTCGAGCAAATGTAGCCTTGCTTGTGCGAAGCGTCTCCCATTCGGAGCCGCTCACGGGAAAATGCTGGTAGTGTGCTAAGCGGGATCGCGGGATGCCCGGCTTATCGAGCAGGCATCAAATCCTCCAGCCCCAACCCTAATGCCTAAAGACAGCCGTCCGTGCGACATGGCACTCAACAGCAGGGTTGCGTCGAAGACACTGACGGATGCCGTCTATATCAATGCCACCTTTGTGGCCCCTCCCCTCGCTACAACATGCTGTAAAACTCGTAGCGCTCTTGTGCAAGTTGTGTGCACAGCATGTTGAGGCACGTGCAGGTGTGAAACATGAGCTTCAAGCAGGCCCTGTTGACCGTCACTTCTTCTTCTTACCCGGCTTCTTGCTCTTGGATGGTGAGCTGTCGAACTCCGCCAAAATCTGATCCAAGTCCTCCTAGCATGGGGCTTGGAGAACATCAGTTGCAGCGACTGCCATGAGACGCCTCCATGGGCTTCTCCTTCTTCTTCTTCTCCGTGCCTGTCGCAGGGTCCAAAGTCCAGAGGCGCAGCAATGGCCAGCAGGGGATTTCCGGGTCAGCCTGCTGCCTTCGGCTCCGACTCCTACACGAGACTGTTGTGTTGCCGGTCCCGCCCTATCCCACCCCGTCCCTCCGTCCTGCGGCGACCAGGGGGGCAGCTCAAGCGTGCCATCCACTATGCCGCGCTGCCACTCCGTGACTGCGTTCTGATCGGCATTTGGCAGCTTAGACCTGATCGTGGTCACCGCTCACAGTCCACCAACTCTCTTCTCCTTCCAAGACTGTGGCGACTTCAAAAAGGAGCTTACTGCCTCTCTCAGGCGGTTTCGGGCCTTCTTCACCTCGAACGGAAAATCGAGACTGGGGCAAGCGGCAAGCAGATGCAAGCAAGCACCCCAGGACCACCGGGCCACTCAATCTGAGAACGTGGCGCGGTTGCGAAGCGCGTTCTCGAGGCGCAGGTGTGCGGGGGCCGTCAAGGCTAGGGGCCAGACGCCCCCACCCCCAGCCGTGGCACTGACCTACACTCGGAGAGGTCAGGCAACTGCTCCACAGTGATCCTGGGGACCCTGGGTCCCGGCAAGGGCGATGGCTCGCTCCAGTGGGTCCGAGTCGGTGTCCTCAGAAGTCTCGAGCTTGGCCTTCAGCATCTGAAGCCTTCGCTGAGAGATGCGGCGCTGTGTTTCGGTGAGTCGGAGCTGCGGGGCTCAGCTCAGGTGGCGACGCACCCGCGAGGGAGCTTGAGTCAGTTTCTGTCTGTAGGGAGGCCGCCAGCTTCTCATCCGAGAGACCTTCAAGCTTGGCCAGCCTGAACAGGCCACGCAAGTCGTCAATGCAGGCCCTTGGCCCTCGCTCGCGCCTGTCTAATCTGTCCTTGGCGAAAAGGTTGATCAGCCGCTCCAACTCCAGCTTCTGCAACAGCAAAGGACACAGCAACGCGGATCGGCTCCCCTCCGCTGCTCCGCTCGGGCTCTGCCTCCTTCTCGGCCTGAGCAGCCTCTCGGTCTTTCTGTGCCTCAAGCAGAGCCCCAGACGCTTGCGTCTTGGCTCCATTCTTCAGTATTGGCTATGTAGGAGACAAAGCAAAAGATCAGAGGCAGTCAACCCGGAGAACATGAAGATGCCAGACATGGGCTCTGCTTGACCTCGCGGTTTCTGCTCAGCTCATGGATGCAAAATTGTCTGATGTTTTTTGTTTGGTGATTTTTTTGCATGGTCTGAGGGGACGGGAGGGAGGGACGGAGGGAGGGAAGGGGGTGGATTTTCTATTTTCTGGGTGCGGGAAGAGCAGCAAGCGAAAACTTACAAAGAGAAAAACGAAGCAGACAATCAGAGAAGCAGAAAAGCAGAGAAGCAAGAGAAGCAGAAAAGCAGAGAAGCAGAGGGGCAGAGGAAAAAAAAAAGTAGCGCAAAGTCAAAGCACAAAAACCAGAAAACAACAAAACATGAAGAATTACGCAGTGAAGAGCTGCAAGCAAAACTTAAAAAAAGAGAAAAGCGAAGCATACAATCAGAGAAGTTCTGAAAAGCAAAGAAGCAAGAATGGCAGAAAAGCAGAGAAGCTACAAGCACAAAAGCAGAGGAAAGCAGAAAAGCAGAGGAAAGCAAAAAGCACAAAAACAAAAACACAACTCAGCTAGAGAAAACTCAAATAAGTCGGATTCCTCAGCTCATGTGCATATTTGATTACGTGACGCCAGAAAACCTGCCAAAGGGCTGGCAGTGTCGACATTCGATGCTGCGCAGTGGTTGTTCTGAAACGAGTGCAAAATCAGGACACCATGTGCGATGAAGGGAACATGTCGCGAACGCATGGGATGCTAAGAAGGATCGTCATGTGTAGGAAGCGGCTGGTGCAAGAAGTGCGAAACGCTGCTGTACCGGGCTTCAAGTAGATGACCATAGGAGCGGGATGGATGCGATCCATCGTGTGAGTGTCGATGATGGGCTCGATGTCGATGCTGGGCCTGTGGCGGGATGCCGCCGTGCCGATCCCTACTCGACATTCGTGTTTGCGTTGAGCCAGCTCATCTTTAAGTGTGGCTGTCCAAACACGGGGCCGCCTGCACGGTCGGTCACACCGTTGGCAGCACACGTTGTTTGATGAGCACACATGCAGCACATGCATGGCTTTGGAAACCGAACGCTCCAAAATTTTTAGACAGACACGAATGCGGAGCAACATGGTGCAATGCAAGGTGTGAAAGCTCCAGCTAGCTCAAGTCGGAAGCGTGTCATGCCGACTGAATCGAAAACCGCGTGTGTCGCTCATGGCCTGTTCCTGCGCTTTTTGCTTGGCCAGTTCACGCTGCTGCTCTTTTCGGACCTTCTCCTCCTCTTCCTTCGGCTCTGACAGCGACGGCATCGGCCAATAACAGCATTGCAGCGAATGCCTGCTTCTTTTGCTTCTCTTCTGCCTTTTTTGCTTTCCTGGTACGGACAGCTGGTATTGCAACGACCCCACAAAGAGGCCAGGGCCCGTAGTGCTTTCGAGAAGCAATTCTTCTTTCCTTTCTTGCTGCCGCCTAGCTGCCTGCGCTGTTTCAACAAAGCCCAATGACAGCCAGCTAGCTCCACCGGCACCTAACGTTTCGCTCAACGCTCAAAACGCCCACCTCTGCCGCGGCCTTTGCTAATCAAGCATAGACAGCTCCACCACCCTTCTGACAACTCGCTGTCGCTGTACTGCGGAACACATGTTAGCGTGAGCGCACAGCTTTCTTGAAGCTTTAGGCTCGGGTTTCCTGCTCACAGGAAGGTGCAGATTCTCAAACCGACTTTCTGAACCCGGCTTGTCGGATCTGCATGCATCAACCGTTGGATGTTGGATGGATCGCCATGGCTTACGACATGCCCTCTGCCACTGCACTCTGACCGGTCGGCCCCCCGCTCTACCCTAGAGACCATTGCGACTGTAAGACTTCGAACCGCTTTCGCGCGACCTACTTCTCCGATGGACCTGCTGCACCGGCAAACCATGATGAACTTGACATGGTGTGTCATAATAACAAACGACTCACCACACGGAGTTGCATACGAGGGCTCCAAAAGCCGACCCCTTGATTGCCACAAGCTACAGTGCTCCAACAACAGACCGGAAAGGGTGCCTACAATCAGTAACATCTGTACAGGACATAGCCACCAATACACAATTCTGCTGCAGATTGGCGCTTTGCAGGCAAGGCTCGGCATCCTTTCTTCGCTGTTCCTGCCCGGATACGATGACATGCCTTCGCAGCTGTTCAAACTGAGAATGTTGTGGCTGTTCTGCTCCTCTTTTTTCTTTTTTTCCTCCGCCCTTTCAGCGGCCAATCGCGCTTTTTCTGCAGCCTGCTGCTCTTCAACTATCCGCATTTTGGCCTGCCGTGGGCTTGGCAAGAATGCTGGCCGTTCTTCTTGCACGACAGCGAGCCTGGTTCTCTTCGGCCTCAGATTCAAACTGACAAAACCCTCTTTCCTCCGTACTAACAGGAAGCAGCAGACGGTCGAGGCGCTCTTTTTCTCGCCTCGACCTGCACGACTGTGCTGGCGTTCTGTCTGGGAACGAACGGGTTGGAGCTCGCCGAACAAATGCGGGATTTAGCCGCTGGCATTGTAGCTGATCGGCCTCCGAATGTCTCCACGAGACACCTTATCGGATAAATTGGCCTGACTGGTTACGCGCTGAAAACTTACGAACAAGCCCCACTTAGCAGCCCACAACCAAAAAGAGCCCAAAAACAGCCGACAGATCGCAGGGTTCTTCGAGGTTCCTTTGTTGAGGGCGTGCTCCGCGGCCGTATTGTCCACAAAGCAGATCAGACAGTCGAACTGGTCGCGTGCCACTGCCTTTCCCATCCGGATTGGAAAGTCCTGGCCTGGGGTGCGGGGTGCTGGGTGCCGGGGGGGGGGGGGGGGGGGCGTTCTGGGTGCCCTGAGGGTGCGGCCGCTCGGCTCCAGTCTCGGCCACGAACGGGGCGGGCACCGGCCAGACTCGAGAGGTAACATCGTCGAACGGGCTTTGTCACTAGATGCACACGTGCACTACCAGACATGCTTTAGTCCGTGGTGTCTGCGGTTTGACCTGGTAGGCACAACCCGATGTGTTCATGGGAAGCCTTTTACTCCGCAGACCGTTGCCCGGGGCTGTTGCTCTCCCGCGGACACAGGCTGACAGGAGAAGGCAGAATGGGTTCCCATGGCCGGCAAGTTTCACCTCTTGAAGGCATGTCTGCGCGCAGTGCTGCGGTGCTGCGCTGTAGTGCAGGAAGCAGAGGCACACCGTCGACACATCGAGAAGCGGCGCAAAAAAACTGATCTGACGGGCCTTCCAAAAGGGGTCAACAGCCCGGCTGGGCTCCAGGCTCTACGGCGCTCTTCGCTCGACTCGCGCTGGTTCGGTGCTTCCTTCCGAAACGGCACTGCGCAGGGCTGACACGGCGACGTGGCTCTGCCTCCTGGGAATCGGTTGGGCCGCTTGTGGTGCTGGCTGCGTCTTCGCTCACCTCGGACAGCGACACTTCTCGCATAGCTTTGCTGTGCCACTAGCGGCCACCCGTACCTTCATTGGGGTAAGGCCGATGGACTCGATCGCCTCGGCAGCGAAAGAGGAACGGGACCAGCTCAACAAAGGAACATGGGTCTGTTCCGTGGTGTCAACCTGAAACCACGACTAGCTCACGAGTGGCTGTAGATGCGCGGCCGCATTTACACCTGCAACCTGTTCTGCCTTCTTGTTGGTTTGACACCTCTGATTCCCACCAACCTGGCATCTCACTCATGGCACAACTTTGAAGTTGTGCTTTGGCACAAGTACCCAGTTACAGAAGGCCAACCAAAGGACGACTAGTAACTAGAAACTATAAGCAGTAGCAGTAACTCGGAGACCCGGTGATACCCGGAGCCGGTCCTAAACCGAGCCTTGTGGAAGACGCTGGCCGCTGCAAGTGGGCTACTTTTCCTCAAGGTTTCCTCGATCTGGTTGCCCAACTCCCTCAATTGCTCTTCCTTGGATCAGCTCGTGGATGCGCCACAATCCGCAATACCGAAGTGGGCCGAGCAAAAAGCGCTGGGCAAGGACACGTGGTCCCGTGGTCCAAGTCCAAGCAGCGCTGAACTGCAAGCACACCTCGTTCAGCTGCTCAAGAACCACATGCTCCTTCACGGCCTTGTTCGGCTGTGCTGGATTTACCATTCCCACCCGGTGCCAAAATCACCGTTGCACATGCTGCGGAGTCGAAAGTCAAGGCACCGGGTGGAAGCTTCGGAGTCGCTGCCGACACTTCTTGACACGTTCCTGCAGGGGCAAGGGCGGCCAGAAGCTGTCCGTTGCACCTTCACCTCGGAAGCCTGAGATCCGGACCTTTACGGCATCCTAGGCTGGTGCACATGAGGACACCATGGGACTCGACGTTTCGACTGAGCCAACGGCCCTCTTCTTCTTCTCCTCTTTGCGCTTCTCTTCCTCTGCCTCGAAGTTAAACGCGCAGAGCGAAGAGAGAGAGAGAGAGAGAGAGAGCGCTGCTCTCTGACTGCTCGGAGCCGCTCGCCGCCGGGGCTCCGGGGCTGGGACCAGGCGGAGCGCTTCTTCCGCTTCGCGCCGCTGCCGCTCGGCCTGCGAAGCGCGGCGGGGCACCGCCGATGATCCGATGGGGGGGGGGGGGGCGCCGGGGGCGCCGGGGGCGCTCCGGCGCTGCTTCGCTTTTGGAGCTCTGCGTTTAGCAAAACGCTGCAGTACGCAGTAGCAGCTGGTGAAACCGGATGTCTCAAATAACCAAAGCGCCGCCGACACGAGTCGACCTTGCTCAAGCTGCTGGATATATGCCGCCCGTGCTGGCTCAGCGCTCAATCGCTCAATCATCCGCAGCCATTGAGTCATGCCTCTTTTTGGGGTACCTTGCTGCACGGACTTGCTTCTCAGTTGCTGCTTGCGACATACGACTTCGCCCAAGCTGCAACTCACGGTACTCATCGGGATACAACGTCTTCACAAACTCTCTCTCGTCGATAGTACCTCCTGAATCCTGCACATCGATGCGCCCTGATGTTGCGGTGGGTTTACGATGCCCACGGCTCCTTGTCGATCAGCTTGAACAGTTCCGTGATCTCTTTATCTTTAAATCCGATATCCATCTCGTTGAGCCTCGGAGCGGTCACGGAAGATGGTCTGCAACCAAATCCAAAATTCAATTGCGGCCCTGCAGCAGAACTTTAAACTCAGGCAAATCGATCTGCAGGGGGCCGCGCGGCTTGCACAAACTCAACAGCTAAGAGCAAGACACAATCGCAAAGACAAAACACACGGCACGTGGCCCGGGGCAGAGCCGGGGCACCTCGGCAGAATCGTCAAGGTCGAAGAGTCCGAAGAGCCGTGGCAGCTCGTGAGGCCCAAACCCCTGCAGAGCAACAGGAACCATTTTCGCACTGCGCAGATCTCCAACAGCCCTACGAAAGATGCAGCCCAGGTACCCATTTGTGCAAACGGCTTCGGGTCTTCTGCAACAGAAGAATCCGTTTACGGCTTCCCCAGATTTGGGTGAAGGAGTGCCCGATGATCCCGAAAGGCATGGCCATGTACAGCGAGCTCACAACCATGAGAACCGAGGTCAAGACCAAACCGCTTTGGGTAGAGGGAACCACGTCGCCAAAACCAACTGTCGTAATGGTCGAAATCACGAGCCATGCTGCGTGAGCCACTGTGGGCATGTTCTCACGCGGCTCAACAAGGTAAAGCAGCGATGTGAAACCATAGGCCATGACGATCATGATATACAGCATCACCGGCAAAGCTTCCAAGCAGTCTCGGAAAGCCTCAAGCGAGCAGGCAAAGCATCAAGCGAGCAGGCAAAGCACGTGTCTCGGTCCCTGCAGGCATGCGTACTTAGCATACGATAAGCATGGCAAGTATGGCCCGCATCCGAGCGCGAGTTCACATGTTCGAGCTCGAGCCTTCGAGCTTTGAAACTCCCTGGGCTTGAGGGCATCAGAACAGCTTTGCATCAAACCTGCGCAGAACATCATCTTATAAACACGCGGAGAAGCAGAAGCTATGCACATCACTTAAACTCGCGTTTGCTGAAATTGGGGGGGGTAGGTTTCAATGCCATCGACGGGATGAGCAAGAATAACAAGAAACAGAGCAGTATGCAAAGGCATAGAAACATCGAGAGACACCAAGAAAGCGCGCTACTGTACAACATACAGTAGTCAAATCCGAACCAAATCTGCAAGGGCTACAAGGGAAAGCGCTGTGCGTCTCCCCGCTTCTCTTTCTGTCGCTCTTTCTTTTGTTTCTTTCTCTACGTACTTCTTTGTGTCTTTCTGTCGCTCTGTCTTTCGTTAGTCGCTTCTCTTTCTTCCGTCCTTCCTTCCTGCATCCCTTACGTTCTGTAGCTCCCCTTCTGTCCTTTTTTTCTGTCGTTCGGCATGTGTTCGCTACGTCGTTCTTTCTGCTCGTTGCTCCTATCCGCACTCGTTTAGGTTTGTTGGCTAGCTCTTTTGCTCGCTGGCTCGTTCGTTCGCTCGTTTGTTCTGCCGCTCGTTCTTCTTGTTCAGCCTTTTTCTGTCTGTGGTTCGTTCGTTCTTTCTGTGGCTGTATCCTTTTTTCGTGCATGCGGTCGTTCTTGATTGTTGTTGTTGTCTTGTTTTGGGTATGTCGTTCGCTACTGCGTTCTTCCTAGCTGTTCTTCATTCTGTCGTTTGTTCGTTGTTTGATGTGTCTGTCGCTTGTGATTGTTTTCGCTTGCTTGTCGCTCGTTCGGTCTTCCGGCATTTATCGTCCTTTCGTCGTCCGTGCGGTCGTTCGATCGTTCCTTTTGTCTTGGTGTTCTTCATTCGTTATCTTTCTATTTCTTTGCGTCGTTCTTTCGCTCTTTCTTGTCGTGTCGTCGTCACTCCTTATTCAACGGATTGGTTCTTACCTGCTGTTTTGCTTTATGTCTTGTGTCGTGCTCTTTCGTGTTCTTTCGTTTGTTCTGTCGTTGGTGCGTTGTTGTGTTGTTTTGTTCTTCTTGTGTCTGATGTATAATTTTTCTCGGCTGCCATAGTTGGTCTGTTCGTTCCTTCCTTCTTTTGATGTTGTTCTGTCTTTGTTGTTTGCTTTCGTTCTTTCTTGCTTCCTTCCTCCATCCATGTTCTGTCTTGCCTTCCTCCGTTTATCGCTATGTCTGCCTCTTTGGCTGTTTCTTGCGTTCGTTTGTTCGCTTGTCGCTTTGTCGGTCGGTGTTTCTTTTCGTCTTCCGTTCGATCGTTCGATCGTTCGACCGTTCGATCGTTGGATAGTTCGATCGCTGGCTCGCTCGTTCGTCTGCTTTGCGCTTACCTACGTCTTTCTGTCCTTCTGTTTGCCTTTTCTTCATTCGTTCGTTCGTTCTTTCGTCCGTGCGCTCCTTCCTTCGCCAATTGTTCATAAATAGTCGGTTTATTTCGTTCTTGCTGGCGTGCGTTCGCTGTTCTGTGCGTGCTATGTCTTTCTGTGCCCATGAATTTCTGTTTTACTCTCTTCTGCCCGTTCTGCCTTCTGGTTGGCTTTCTTGCTTCCTTTCTTTCGGACTTTCTGGCTTCCGTTCTTTCATGCGTTCTTCGGTTCTTTCGCTCCGGTTCCTTCTTTCCTTGTGTAGTTTCTCGCTATTTCGCTCTCGCGGTCCGTGCCGCGCCAGTAAGAGGTTCCGGCCCGTTTCGGGGGTGCGAGTGCGTTCCCCTGAATGCCCAGCTTTGCGAACCATGAACCCTCAGCACAGGTACCGAAGTCTTTTGACTCAACGGACTGACTGCTTGACACTTCATGACGATGCATGACTCAACCGAAACCGTTTCACTACTTCATGCTTGGAACGGTTTTTGGAAGCATCAACTCAGTTCAATGATGAAACCATCAAGCTCTGCTCCGGTACGTCCACCTCGATCAACTCGTTGGCTCTGCATGCACGCCAGCATAATATTTGGTTCGTGATGCTGTACACTAACCATAGAAACGTTGAACGGGGTCTTAGCTACTTGCTGCCATGTAGCGGCTTTCAAGAGCTGCATGTACGTGAAGCGCCGCACCAGCCGTAGCAATCGTATCATCGGCATCGCAGCCAGGAGAAAGGCATCGCCAAAGGACCCGAAATCTTCCCCGAACTTATCCTTCAGGACCTTGTTTCGGGCGGCATGCAGGCGTTCACATGCAGACAGGCAGGTTACCTCGTGGTAACAAGAGCACAGCAACGCAACGAACTGCCGCACGCCGCATTCAAGAGGCGAGGAGAAGAACAGGAAGTGCACTCGCGCAGTCGATGAGGTTCTCCCAGCGCTGCTCGCCAGAGAAAATCATTGCCGCGTGCGGGTAACAGAGGAATCGAATGACGGTCTCCGCCAATAAGATGGAATCGATGAGAATATTGATCAAATCCTTGTAGGCCGATGCGAGCTCGATGTTCAGAGCCGGCAAAAACGCGAAGAGCATTCCTAGCAGTGTGAAGATGGAGATGCCGTAGAAGTAGTAGGAGGAGAAAGTGCTGGAGTCTGGATCTTCCAGAAAATCCGTGACTGCCTTTGACATCCAAGACTGCTTGCTGTAAATCTCCAGCGGAATCTGGGCACGCGCCAGTCGTTCCTGGAAGGGAATACCCATACTCTCGAGGTTCAGCGTGCTGTACTTGTTGCGCTTGTGCCGATCTTCCCTCTCGACTTTGAGAAGCGGCAAGCTTTCCATGGCTTCCGCGTCCAAACGATCGGAACGGAGGATGGCCCGCAGGTCCTTGAAGGAACTCCGTTCAGAGGGGTTGGCAAGGTTGGCCTCCTTGGCACCCCTGGCGCTCAGCGCGAGCACACTCTGCGGCTTACGCGGCGACGAGAGCAGCGTGCCACCATCGCGGCCCTCGCAAATGCGGCTAAAGGTCGCCTCCATCTGCCGCAAGAGCCCTTCCGTGATGTTGTGGTCCTGGCAAGAGCACAACGAGGGCAGAAACACAGGTGTCGGTCTTGCTTCTCGAGCGATTGCCAGAAGTGGTCGGATGCAACCATGCACAGGAAGCACTCTTAACGACACTCTTTTCCTGCCAGTAGCAACACTCTGGCTGCAAGGCCTTGAGAGGAAGGCCGCAAAACAAGAGGCTCACGAAAGCATGCACAACGGCTCCGAAGCAAGCCGCTGATTTTTACATCCCCTTTATTTTATGTTGCTGAGGAGTAGTATGGAGTATGAAAGGCACTAAGCTCCGATCCTCAAGTCGCTTTCTTAGAGAAGGCCACGAGCACATCGAATCTCTCAGAGAAAAGTGCCGTCGCCACACATGGCGAGGGTGTTCCAACCGGCAAAAATGGTGCGCAGCAGGTACTCCTTCGAACTGAAGCGAGGTTGTGGCGTTCTGAAACTGCGGGCTTCGTAGGCAACGTTCACCCCCATGCCATCGAGGTGATGCCATCCCTTCTGGTTGGCAAGCTTGGAGAGGTCCTTCAAAACAGGGTCGTTTCCGTCAACTGGTTCGCCTGGTAGAGGGGCTTCGGCTTGACGACGAGGACCAGAGGAAGACTTCTTAGCCTAAGCTACCTGCTTCACAAAGTCGGGGCAGTAAGTCACACTCCAGCGCCCTTCACGAAGAATGGCAAGCAGGTGAGTCAGGTCCATATCCTTGGTTCCAGCGCCACACCACATATTCTCTGTGAGGTCGATCGCAGAGCCGTGTTCGGCCGTCTCAGCACCGACCGCAACCAAGCCACACTCTTCTGTGCTTGGCGTCGCAGACCACTGAAAGTGGCACACTGTTGAGGCTGGCGTCCCAGCCCCGACCCATTACTGGAAGGCCACGAGCCACCGCCACAAATCCGCGGACCAGTTGGCCAACGTCAAAGGCTTCTTCAGCCCCTAGCGTTTCCGAGGCGTATGAGGATCTGCACACGCGCGGAATGCGATGCGAGCGCATGTCCAACACGTTGAAACGCCCCGTGCGTCCTTCCATGAGGTCACGGCACAGTAGTAGCAAGATTGGCTGTAGACTTTCTCCAAAGGAGCAGCCTCACCCGAGCCACTCGCCGTCACGGTGCCCAAGGACGAGTCGGTCACCACCATCAGGCCCCCATCAACAGGGTCTACGGCAAAAGGGTCTACGGGCCTAAAGGTCAACTCAAAGTTGGCATCCCGCTTGAACTCACGGCACAGCTCGTTGGCACGCAGGATGGTACCCACACAAGCCTTCTCGCCTTGCAAGGACGACACCTGAAAGGCCAAGTCGAAGCGAAGTTGAGCCACCAGCCACTCAAAGCTCCCAAGGAGGGCTCGAAGCTTCTTGTGCTCGACCTTGTCCAACTCCGACGTCAGCTGCCCTGGCCGAGCCTTAGGCACGTGGATCTCCTGCAGGTTCTCGTGGTACGCCTGCATGGAAAGCACGACAGTGTTGTCGGCCTTGCGAGTGAATCGCTTTCCACACCAGGTAAAACTGTCCCGCTGCACGTCACGAAAGCCAAGCTCCTTGCCCACATCCATCAGGGACTGCTCGGCCTCAGAGGAGCCGCCGAAGAGCAGGTCATCGACTTGCGAGACGATGACTCCCAGAAGGCGCTTCTTCGAAGAGTCCGCCCGCTTGAACCAAGTAGCTTGACCCAGCGGACTGCGCTCCCAGCCGCGGTCCTCTAGGGCACCACGATTCAAACCACGCTCCACTGCTTGACGTTCCATGGTATGGCGCAGCTCGGCCGCAAAGTCAGCCGGTTGGCCCCGAAGCAAGGCCCTATCACGGCGAAGCTGTTGTTCCAAGGGTAGACCTCGAGCTCGAGTCATGGCCCACTGAACCACCGGGCTTTGGAGAATGTCACGATTTTCCGGCTCCGGCGCTTGCTCAAAGAGATGGCCCACAGGAGTTCCCGGCGCTGCAGTAGAGAGCGACGCCTGAACTGCCTCTGGCCAGGCGTCTCGGCGAACGATGTCCAGTGGCTTCGTGTACACGCCGGACTGCACTACGAACGGCCGGGGTGATCTCATCATTCAAAAGCTCGCCCAGGTCATCATCAGAGTCCTCGCCATCCTCGCGATCGGGCCCCTGCTCGGCAAGCACCTCATGGTAAAAGTCCATGGCACCCGTCGAACCCACAATCTCATAGCACTCCCTAATCGAAGCCACCACAGGCCTAGCCGACACCGCCTCAAAGTCAGATTGCCTTTCTAGAGCATCAAGGAGATACTGGGCACCATCACGGTTTAGGATCACCTCTAGCTCGCCTGAAGACCACGATGGTAGTGCATCACGTCGGGTTTCAACGGACTGAGATGGTAGTGCATCACGTCGGGCTTTGGAGGTCTGAGAAGGTAGTGCATCACGTTGGGCTTTAGAGGTCTGAGATGATAGTGCATCATGTTGGGCTTTGGAGGTTTGAGATGGTAGTGCATCACGTCGGGCCAGCAAACAGCTGACCACGGCTTGGCTTGAGGTCAGAATGCTCATGGGCACACGGTTGTTCCAAGCCCTCCCAGTCCAACTGTGAGCCGCATGGCCCCAGGATCGCCGGCAACCGCCAGGCCGAAGAAGCGGAAGGAAGAAAAAGAACCAAGTGTCTCCCCCCCGTGCTTTGTTGTCGCGCCAAGCGAGCCGCAAACTGAAGCCCAGGCCGCACTGAAGCTTCCGATTCTCGCCAGCCGCCCGGCAATGGCTGAGCCGGCCCCGAAAATGGCGCAAGTAGCGAACAGTACGGCTTGTAGTGCTTAAGGTGCGCCAAAAGTTGCAAACGGTCGGCTCAAAGGGTTTGACGGCACCGCCGGCGAGAGAGCATGGCCACGAAGCCAGCCGAGCAGACGCTTCCACCTGACAGTTGCCGAACATCTCCATGACAAACGGCTGGCGCATGCCCTTCAGGTAGGTGGCGTGGTGCTCGGTAGTCATAGCCTCCCGCAAGCGAGTTATGGTGCACGATATCAATTGTTGGTCTCGTCGATGTCTGTCCCACGCTTGCGTGATCTGCTGCAGCTGCCCCGGCGACACATTGTTGGGCCGTCCAGCATGCCGAGGCTGTTGATTCTCGGGTCTGGTGGCTGGTCCACTTTGTCCCACTCCGTCATCTTGCTGTCCGGGCTGTCGTTGGGATTGGCGCTGCTCAGCGCGGCCGGGTTGCCCTGCAAAGTCATCACATGCGACAGCACTTGAGCGAACATGGCCTGGTAGCGATTGTCCATCTCTCCCAGCCGCTGCTCCAACATAAGTTCCAGGTTCGCCGCGGCCGACGGCACAACATTCATGCGCTGGCTGTCCATGGAACCTTGGGTCGCCACCGTGGTTGGTGAAGCCAGACCAGCTGCCGCCGGCGCCCTGCGGCCGGCTGGCTCACATCGGCTGGTACATACGCCACCTTCAAGGCACCCACGATGCCCTTCAGGCCCTTCAACGAAGCCACTGTGTCCTTGTCCTCGACGGTCACGTGCATGAGCCCCGCGAGCGTGATGAGGTCCCCCTTCAAAGTTCGGTGACCACCAAGTAGAGCCCGCGCGCCAGCTGCTCCCGCTGCTCCTCCATTGGCTTGCTGGGCCGCCTCTCCAAGAGCAGCTGTCTTTAATCGGGCCTGTCGTCCCCGCTGGTGCGAGCAGCAAGCATCCCGGCCAGGATCGGGTCCTCCACAAAGGCGAATCGAAGCCCGAGTCTCGAGCGAAGCCAGGTCATGGAGGCGAGGTTTTGTTGATTGTACACCCTCAAGCTGAGCCATCGACTGGGCATAAACCGATGCTCCACCATCGCTGCAGCCTGCATAAGGAAAGGGCAGCCAGCGCAAACCGGGCTGCTTGACAAGCCACAGACGCACGCCTTCTCGGCCCCAATTACCGGGCTACGGCCCTCAGTGCCACGCGGCGCCATCCCTCCAGGAGCGGCTCGCTGTGCTCCACAAAGCGCACTGGACCCGCCGAGTCGCGGCTATGCGGCACAGGTGCCACCGACGAAGCAAGAGGAAGCCGAGATTGACTGGTGCTTTGGGCCCGGGCCTCCGGCATCGGAGAGTCATGACCGAACTCAAATGCAAGCCGACCCAGCGCTAAGCTGGCTTCCGTGAGGTTATGGCTGTGGCTAGGAAGTGCTAGCTCATCGTCAGCAAGCGCACACCGGGCTTGTAACAGATGCTTTGCCCAATCTCTGCAATCAAGACGGCACTCCAGAACACCATCAAGCCCAAGCTTCCGAAAACGAACTTGTCCAGGTGACTCGGGCCGCTGCTCCGAGATCAATCGCAATGCCAAATGCCCTGCATTGAGGCGTTCCAAAGGCGTCTGTTGCACCCCAAAGGTGCGACACCACAGCGTGCGCCGGCCGAAATCCAGCACACCGCCTATAGTCCATCTAAAGCGTCACGTCCAAGAAGCAAGCCGAGGGTGCCCACAGGAACCGCCGAGACCCAGATGCAGACCAATCGGTCTCCAATCATGGCCGGGATTCGCCACCTCGTCGTCGAAGGAAGAATCCCAACGTTCCCGAACTTGAAGGACTCCGTCTCCGGCTTCTGTTGCAGCATCTCCTGAATGTACACCGGGCTCCAACCAGCGCCTTATCAGCCGCAAGATGCCGCAAGCACCTCAGTAGCGAGGGCCTCTCCACATGATGTGCCCCGCCATCCAAGGATCCACGGAGCATCCCACCGAGGTCACCGGCCGTCATCATCATCGCCTCGTGCACCGGGGCGTCCTTGATCTCGACCTCGCTCGCTTCATGACTCGGGGCAGCTTCGGCAACACGCACCTGCTTAGGTGGCTTCGCTTTTCCACGGCTAGCTCCAGCACCTGGCTGCGGGCACGCAGGACCTCCGGCCCAGTGTCCGCTGCCTCCGCAATCAAAACAAAGATGCTTCCCGGAGGCCTTCTTCGCCGAGATCGCCGCTCCTGGCCTCGCGCATGCTGACCAAGGCCTCGGCCGATGCTTCCATGCCGGACTCAAGGGCCTCCAAATGAGCCGGGTCGACTCCTTCTTCCTCCGCCGCCGCTATCTCCCCGCCTCCTCGTCATAATCAGTCTCCGCCACATGCGCTTGCCGAGGGGGAAAGCGACGAGGTGCGTGGCCGGCCGCAGAACTGGTAATCGAGCTCGACGGCGGGCCGGTGGAACGCCGGGACATAGTCGATTGCGCCGTCTAACCAGAAGGAGCGGAGGCGAACAGCTTCCGGATTGCCAGCTTCCCCGCGGCCCACTCCTGCCGGCGAAGCAGAGGATCTTGAGAACGCAAATCTCGGACAAGGCGGAGGCACTCGCTTTCAATCGCAGCATACTTCTCGTTCCCTGCCAGCGCCGTGTCCAAGAGCTGGCGCCTTAAAGGATCCAAGCCAAGCTTCTCACGAAACCACCAACCCAGCTCCCCATCAGGCAGCACCACACCCTCCGCGTTCAAGTCCGCGATCTCGGTTCTAAAGCGGGTGGCGTAGTCCGTGACCCCCTCGCCAGCACGGCGCGCAAGGTGAAGATAAAATTGGCTGCGAAGCTCCCAACGCTTGTCCAAGACACTCAACCCATTCATGGTCTCAAGCACACCTAGCAGCTTATTGAAGCCATAAAGAAGATCTTCCGGCTCATCAACAAGGACCTCGCCCGTCTCGGGATCTTTCAGCTCCGACGCTGCCTTGTATCGAAGCTCCTCTGGATCAAAATCTTCGCCTCGTTGGCGAACGATGCCGTCCTGCCGCATCAGCCAACGTACTGCCAGGTTGTACTTCCTAGTGCATTCCAAGTCTAAGCTGCTTATCCACCAGGACATCTCACGACGAAACGACCGCCAAGTCAGCGGAGAGCCATCCCACACGGGACAGCGGCCCCAACCGCCATGCCCGTCATCTTTCGCCTGAGCCATCTCTCGCGAGGGCCTCCGAATTCACAGACCCAAAAAGTCCAAAGGTGATACAGGACCTCACCCAAGGGATTCCAGCCCAAGCCTGGAAAGTTCCAAAGTGCCTGCTTTGAAGTTCCAGAAAGGGCAGGGGAATTACAAAGGCAAAGTCAGATTGACGAACCACAAGCGCTGATTGCAAGGCAGCGGAGTGCGGCGCAGCAAGCGGTCCCAGGCACCTTTAACTCAGGCTCCGGTGCCACTGTGAATGCTGAAGGCAGCAGCAACCATGCACAGGAAGCACTCCTAACGGCACTTTTTTCCTGCCAGTAGCGAAACTCTGGCTGCAAAGCCTTGAGAGGAAGGCCGCAAAAGAAGAGGCTCACGACTGCATGCACAAAGGCTCCGAAGCAAGCCGCTGATTTCTACAAAGAGTGTTCCAAGGCGGCCCAGAGGCTTCGATGCAAGTTTGAAGATCGTCTTACCTTTCAAAAAGTCTCCTCTCAAGCCTTTTGCCCTCCCTATCTCGAACCTAAGGTCTGGACAAAGCATGGCTGACCGCGTCAAGTACAGATGAGTCTGGGTGATGTTAGACCGGCTGAAAGCAAAGAAACGGCCCCTGAAGTCGAGAACCCTGGGACACCGGCCGAAACCTGAATGACACACCAGGCAGCTGCGAGGTGGTGAATTGGCCCTCAAGGCAAGCCCCCGAACAGTAACCTAGCTACCAAAATTCAGTCTTCATCCGCATATCACGAGGTCCCTGAGAAGCCACCGAGGAACCAGACAAATCACCTCACCTTCAAAACTGCATGTCTTCCTACATGTCTCACAGCCACTTGTCTGTCAGAAGCTGTTCGATTGAGTTCAGGACTACGGGCGCAACCTCCCACATTCTGATACCACAGAGAACAAGAGACACGGCAGACAAGGGAAAGATCCCATGCAAGCGGCACAGCACCGCTGTCCTGTCGCAGCGTCTGAAGTACATCTTCGATGCCTTGGCGGGCCCAGGGCCCAGACCGCACTGCAAATTTGCACCGCTGCATTGCACTGAAAAGCTCCGAGCCAAGGAACGATGCTCGATGGCCGCAAGTCTCTTGGAGAGGTCTGGAGGGGGCTTTCCACACTGCATGGCACTTTCTAGGTTTCACGCTGATCGCGGCTGCATAACGAACACACTCGCACAACCCGCTGTGGCAAAGGCATTCTAAGACCTTGCTAAGTTCTGCGAATCTCAGGCCTCTTCCTTGGCTCGCTTGGCAGCCGTTCGCTCCTAGGACCCTCAAACACCGCGCCGCAACCGGCAACAACACGCAGAAGATTTCGGAAAGGGGATCCCAATCCCACAAAGCTCCTCCTCTCGTCGAGCGGCCTCTGCTTCGCGAGCCAGTCGCTTGGCCTAGCATTAAACACTGCAAGGCATTACCAACAGATGAGACTCTACACGGACAAGTGATCCCACCTCTTTCTCGGCCTGCAATGCATCAAGACGTGGTGCAATGTGGCGCTATTCGGCTGGGTTCCAAGAAGCTTGTGGGACCTGAATGCGAGGATCGAAGGACTCGGCCAAACCTCAGAGAGCAAGAGCCAAAAGGCTCTTAAGAATGAGAACTCGGGCTCCTCTGAGGGAAACCTCTCAGCCTCGGACTGACAAGCTTGGAGATCCGGTCGCGCTCCTGCTGCTTGTACTGCCGGGCCACACGCTGGTTCTCCCTCATCATCCAGCGCCTCCCATCTGCGTCGACTGGACTGTAACTGTAGCCCTAAACCCTAGCGGCTCCGCGGCTCCGCTCTCCCGCCCGTTCCTCTCTTCGCGGCACTCGGCTTCCTCAAGGTCACAAATCTCTTCACCAGCTTTCTGTGCGAGCATCACCTCAGCTCTTTCAGCACATATTCCCTGGATGGCTGTGCTGCGACCTATGCTTGTAAGGCTGGAGCTGGATCTCTCCATGATTGAAAGCCATACCTTGTGATAAGGTACGTGGCCACAGGTAGTTCAGTTTAGCCAAGGATAAAGCCACACGCACAGTCAAGGAATGTTGGCAGAAGCTGGAGTCTTGCATCGAGGTCACCAGAAGTCGTAGAATCGCTTCCATGCTCGCGGCTCGTCCTGGCAAAGATTCCGGCTGCCGGCTGGACATTGGCACAGCAAAACCGCGGACAAACTCCTCCAAGCTTCCCAACTCGGGAACTGGGCGCTTCACAGAGAAACGAGCATTCCGGCGGAACACCTGTCAAATCGGCTGCACATTCGATCCCTCCCAACAGTGTGCCTTTGGCCTCGCCGAAGACCTGGAAGAAGTCCTGGCCGCTGTCCGGGCGAAACTTGGGAAGGCTCCTGAGCCCCACATGCCACAGGTTGATAATACTGGCGGGGTGATGTCGTTGCCGACAGGAAATAATGGAGAAGATTGGTGACATGAATGGTTAACCTCATGGGACGCCAATAGCGCAGGAAATGGCAACGTGCAGCTTGCAAAGACGTGCAAAGCCGAGCATCTCATCGAAATCCAAGCTGGAGTCGTATTGTTTCCGCTTTGATTGGTCGGAAAGCAACTCGTAGGCTTCCTGGATTTTCACGAAGTTCTCCTGTACCTGAACCGAATGTGGGATTGTGCCGGAGCGGGGCATCAGAACACTTGGGGGGCGTTGATCCCATTTTACCGGGTGGCAACAATACATAACACTTCGCTCCACCCTGATGGCCCCTGATGGCCTTCTTGGCTTCATCTGGTTCCATTGCGGCCTGCTTGTCCGGATGCGCTGTCAGGGCCAAGCCTCTGTAGGCCTTCTTGATTTCGTCCTGTAGGCTGCACTCAGCGCTGCACTCAGCGCCTGACATCACCTGTTGCAAGGCCTGGGAGGCACCCTCCGAAATGCCCATCAGATTGTAGAGATTCACTCCTTTCAGTAGCTCACCTCGTGTACAGACGACTTTGAAGACGACCCGCTACTGCTAGAAACCGCTGCTGTCAAGTCTCTGATCTTCAAGTATCCACCTGAGGACTTGTCCTCGCAGAGTGAGCTTCTGCTTTACCGGGCGCTTTACCGTGAGCAGTCGGAAAAGCCGCAGTGGGCCCAGTCCTCCTTCGAGCCCTTCGGGCCCTTGTTGTATTCCTCGCCCTCCTCAGCGGCCTGGTCCTGATCGCTCTCACTCGGAGACTGGCCCTGGCCAGTCGCCTCGGCAGAGAGCGTGCGCGGGTGCTGCGCTACTGAGCCCCAGCCCCGGCCCCACCTCGAAGCGAGCAGCGAAGCTACGCCCTGCAGCTTCGCATCTGTAGTTGGCAGCAGCCTCTTGGCAACACTCGCAGTGTGCTGTGATGTGCTGTGTCACTGAGATCTGGGCGGTGCAACCGCCAGCTACCACTTGCGCAGGTGCACAGCAAGCACAAACGACTTCCTTGCAATTTGTTTCGTCACCAGCTACCGATACATCTCATCACGAAGCGAGGTGCCCACGTTGAGGCCCACTGACTCAGGATCGTCAAGGAGGGCTCTCAAGAGCTTCGGTGCCATCTCGGAAGCCTGAGACTGCATGGCTTGGGTCTGTCAGGTTACCCGAGGATGCTGCGCCTGGCAGTTTCTGGAGGAAGGAGCAAGCTAGGCAGCTAGAGCCGAGATGAGATGAGCCGAAAAAGTGAAATCACTTCATCGGAGAAACCTCCAGCAAAGCCCTGGCGCAGCGCACAGCCTGTGCTCAGCCCGTAAGAGTCTCTGCCAAAGCTCGGCTTTTTTCAGGAAGGCTCCCAGCTTTCGACGCTTCGGCCCGTCCTTCCCTGCGGCAGCTAGCAGCTAGCATCCTTCGAAGTCCTACGGCAATTGCAGAATCCAAGAGGACGGTCTTGCAAATCTGGAATGGTCCTCCCAATATGCACTCCCATAGTCGGTAATCAGCTCCGAACCCTTCTTCACATCCTTCGTTGTCCTCAACCGCATAAAGTGAAGCCCCTCGCCGTGATCTGTAGCCTCTCGCTTGCCTGAAGTAAGCGACATCGCCGAACTCGCAGATCTGCACATTTACCTTCTTGCACTGCCTCGTGACTGCTCGCACTTGATGCACACAACTGCACCCGACCCGAACACACGAGATGCAGCACGGACATGCGGACGAGGCACTCCTTGGTCCTTGCTGCATTGACAAAACGCACCGGGTTTTTCTCTACCGCCACACGCCCATCTACGCAGAAGGTTGTGGCAGCCCCGGCTTGTTCCGCCTGGAGCTCTGGACAACTGTGAGTGCTTTGCGGCTGCTAGCACTGCTGGGGCTCGGACAGTCTGCAGCTGTTCGTCGGTGAAGTTGAAGAGCGCCTCAGTTCTTTCTTGTTTCTCGGGGACATGGCATCTTGCTCCTCAATCTGTGCGAAAAGCCTCTTCTCGAAGGGGACAGTAAACGTAGTCCATTTCGCTAGTACCTCTCATCTTGCGGAACTCGGCAAGACCTTATAAACCATGTCGCGATCATGATCATCACTGTGCACGCACGCCGCCTGAGATCCTGGCTCAAAGGCTTGCCCTGATAGGGGGGGAGCCTTTGAACTTCTCCGAGTGCACAGGACGCAAGGAACGATTTCTTTCTGAGTGCCGGACACAGTGTACTTGGGCAGCGGCACCGTTGTAAACAAACCGTCGCCGGCTGTTTCACCCAATGTGGAGGGTTTTATTTGGAGGTTCTTCCCGTCCTTGATAGCAAACCACGTGGTGTGCTGGAAGTGAGACTTGCATAGGTCCTCCGGGTTCCACTTCAGCAAGTTGGCCGTTCTCCAGGATAGGTGGTCTCAGGCGACGAAAGCCCTCAAGAGCCGCTGCTCTCTCTTTGTGCCGGCGTGCCTGCCCAGCCCTCCTCGCCCTGCCCAGCTTCGATGCTGTCGAGCCGGGCCCTGGCAGCATCTGCAGGGAGCTTGTAGAGGCCTGCATGGATGCGACACGGCGGGAGCCGATCTCTCGCTCTGTCTTGCTGAGCGCGCCACCGCCTGACACGACGAGCTGCTCGGAGGACTGATAGTCGCTCAAGAACTCATGGCAGTTGCATTTGGTCTCCTGCCCTTGGAAAGAGACAAAACTCTCATGAACAAGTGCGTCGGCGAGCTTTTCTTGCCAAGATTCCCTGCTTGAGATCGATGCATGTCGTCGCACACCAATCCCGCTCACAGCATTCGCACGGGAGCCCGACGATTTTCTGCACAGAATCACGTCTTTGTGCTTTCAATCACAAAGCTCTCAAGGTACTGCGTCTGCGGGCGCACAAATCGAGCTTCTGCCGGGTTGGGGTCAAGAGTGGCGGCAGCCAGCGACGTCGATCCCAACCAGGCACCTGCACGACCGGGGCTCTAGAAACGGCCGATGAAACCCCCATGTGCCTGTCAAGACTTGTCTTCGAAGAGTTCGCAAGCTTGCCGTGCTCTGGCTCAGGAAGCCTGTGAGCAGCCGGCGCCCAACCGCCCCGCCGCGACCAGAAGACCGAAACTCGCAAAGCCGAGCCTTCCAGGCAGGCGGGGCTCGAGCAGGCAAGCCAGGCCGAGACGGCCAAGGCCAGACCAACAGCGGCTCCTGCAGAGAGCAAAGTGTCGGACCCCTGGCCCTGGCCCTGGCCCGTGCCGTTGCTGCCTGTGGGTCGCCGGGTACGCCGGGCCTCGCCCGGTCCTCTGGCAGCCTCCGATCCGAGGAGGCTCCGGCCAGCCATGTTTCGCCCCTTTCGAGCCAAGCTTGCGAACTTCAGCACGGGAATCGGATAGACATGTAGATCATGCAGACTCCCTCGCAGAAGACATGATGACCTTTTGCTGTTCTTTGCTGCTAGCCGGCTGCATACCAGTGGCGGGCTTGATGCCTGAGGCGCACTGGGTCCGCAAAGCGACTGTCCCCAAAGAATCGCGCGACGATGCCGACGCCAAGTCCAGCCACGCTTCCGCCAATGTGAGCCGCCCAAGCAATCGGGGGCAGGCGAGCTCGCAAAAAGAAGCCAATCAGATTTGAGATAAACGCAACATCGCACAGCTGAGTCATTGAGAATGTACCCACAAAGAGCACGTGAAATCGCCGCTCTGGCTGCATGAGGCTACCCGATGACAGAAGACCCATCAACAAGCCGCTCGCACCTAGTACTGGGCGTCGGTGGCACAGAACGTGGCCGAGACTGGAACCGGCGGAGCAAGCTGTGAAGAGAGCCAGCTGTTCCTGGACGGAAAATTCCTCCGCCACTCGGCCGAGTGTCCACAAGCCCCAAGAGTTCACCAGAAAATGCGATGGGCGCTGATGGGATAGGCAGCTCGTGATCAGTGTATGAATTCTACCATGTCGTAGGTGCCAGCGGCTGCACAGGAAGTGACCAGCCAACCATCGGCCCACCAGGTGACTGGACCCAAGGTGCGGGGCAGCAACCCACAAAGAGAAAGTCGCAGCATTCGCTGCAAGCACGCAGCAGACAACACTTTTTGCCGTCGCTGGACCAGAAGTCACAGAGCCTCCGGCCCTTGTCCCAGCATATGCACCATTGAACCATGGCAGCATTTCGGAAGCTTGCTTCCATCCGAGGTGACCCCGCTTCAAAACCGATTGACGAAAGGCACCGCGGGCATCTTTCACGAGCAAAAGAAACAAGATGAAACTGGTAAGGAGACAGCGAGAAAGGAATCAAACACGAGAGAGGAAAGATTGCAATCGTCATAATCATACTGACAATATCAACTCGTGACATGTATACGAACGGTTATAGCTCTAGATCTGGAAAAATCACAAACATAGATAATCCGCCGACTTAGTGAGTTTGCTACCGTGCACTGTGTCGACGTGCCTTCCAATCTGTCAAATTCCTTCTTGCGCCCGGACCACAAGCTGGCCTCGGACTGGACTGGTGCCCGGGAGACCTTGCCAAGTTCTCCCCTCCCTTGCAGACATTTCCTGCGGGGGCGGTGCCCAGAAGCTGTGTTTTCCCCCAGCCCCACCGCGCCCACCTCGGCATGGGTGGGTGTGCATGTGTGGGTGTGCGTGTGTGGGTGCCAAGGTTGCCCAGACGCCCAAGGGTGAGAGCAGCAGCAAAAAGCCAAAGACTGAGAGCAAGAAGCCCAAGGCTGCTCAGAAGCCTGCTGCCAAGCCTGCTTCCAAAAAGAATGCTTCGAAGAAGTTGCCCAAGTATGAGCCGGCTTCCCCCACCGAGGCCCAGCTTGGTGCACGACGGGAGACCTACACAGACGGGCATTATCATAAGGCCAGAAAGCTTGCTGAGAAAAGCGGCTACGAAAGGGAAGCCGGACTCGAGTATGGAAGAGCTGCCAGGGCTGCAGCTGCCGCCAAGTGGCATTGGCATGTATAAGCCATGATGGCTTCACGTGATCTGAGTGTGAAGCTGGAGATTGTGCATAGAGTTTGTGTGGGATGCATTTACCAGCCATCAGCTTGGTTGTTTTGTGCTGGGACAAGCAAAGTGCTTTTCTCCATGCCTTGGCACCAGCAGCATTCCAGCAGCTCGAGTGTTCTTTCTTTTCCTTGGGGACCTTCTCGCTTTGTGTTTTGCACACAAGACCTCAGAGAATCCATCCGAAGAAGGACAAAGGAAGGGCCATTTTGCAGTCCGCCGTTTCGTTGAAGTATGTCTCATATTGGCAGCGGTTTCTGAGTGGTGCTTGCATGCATGCAATCATGAAGCATTCCTGCTTTCAAGCCAGTGAACACTGCTGCCATGCAAGCTTTTGGGTCATACATATATATATATATACCTTGGCTAGCACCTTGTAAACATCTAATTTGTTCTTCCAAACCGTGAAGCCAACTGAAGCCTGATAGTGGATTCCAGCCTCGAGACAATGCCCAGGTATCGGTTAAATCGTCTTGTATCTTAGCCATGGAGTTTGAAGCCCAAACAGGTTCTAAGTGTATCTATATTCATATAGACGTATACGCCCGAGCATAGAAACAAGAGGCCCTAAACTATATACACAATTGTTCGTGTACGTGCACACTATATGTATGTAAACTTCAGACTCGAATAAAACGGTTCTAGACACCATATATATGTGTGTATACACACACACATATGTAAGCATGTCAACCCTTAAACCATAACATGGCCGTATAAACAACCCTATTCATGTACATAAGCATTAAACACCGAAGCACACACCCTTTCAGCGACTTTGCTGCCATATCGGTATGAATTCATATGGTATGTTTCACTCATGGACAGTGACCGCCAGGACTCCAAACTTCAATTACACCAGCGAAGACCCCAAACAGAATGCGTCGAATCATACCGGTTCAAGTTGGAATGTGTTAGATCCCAATCTGGCTTCGCCAGCAGATTTTGCGAAGAAGAATTAGGCATTGGGCGATATATTTCTGCGAAAGAAGAGTGGGTGGTGGGACTCAAGCATGTGGGAAGGTTTTTGGGAGGGTCCAGGGAGCATCGTTCAGAGGATCTTGCTGCAACACCATGCACGGAAAACATGCACATTTCTCCCGCAACTGCCACATTGTTGCCGCCTTTGCAAAACAGGATACCTGGCCTCTGCTGCAAACGTTCGGGGACGAAGTGCAAATGAGCTTGGTGTTCGCTTCGGTTGGCTGTCGGACGGGAAGAAAACGAGAACTTTGCCGTGCATGTTTGGCAAAAAAGGTAGGATGGGATTTGTCGGCTTACAAGGCAAACAAAAAGCTCTCTTAACACGGAACCATTCACGTTTTCTCTGCTGACCGAACGAAGAGCATTGTCCACAGGATTTTGTTGCCGCAGGAACCGCACAAAGAAAAAACGCAACTTCTCCACAATTTTCATAACGTTACCGTTTTGCAAAACAGGATTCCTTGCCTCCGCTGTAGACATTGGAGGAAGAAGCACAACAGAGGTTGCTATATGGATTATGGATCGGTTGGCTATCGCACGGGAAAAAAGTGTGAACTTTGCCGCGCAATTTTGGCGAAAAGAAGCGCGCACAGGGTGCGTCGGCTTACAACACAAAACAAAAATCTTTCTTTACACGGAACCATTCACGACTTTTCCGCAGACCGAACGAAGATCCATAGAATCTTGCTACCGCAGAAACCACGCACGGAAAAAAACACACACAACATTGCCGTTTTGCAAGACAGTATATGTGGCCTCTGCCGTAAACGTCTGTGGAAGAAGCGCAAAACAGGTTGGTATACGGATCGGTTGGCTGTCGCACGGGAAAAAGTGTGAACTTTGCGGCGCAATTATGGCAAAAAGAAGAGCAAATGGGTTTGTCGGCTTACAAGGCAAACAAAAATCTTTCTTTACACGGAACCATTCACGATTTTGTCCGCAGAACGCACGAAGATCCACAGGATCATGCTGCCGCAGCAACCACAAACGGAAAAAACACGCAACATTGCCGTTTTGCGAGACAGGATATGTGGCCTCTGCTGTAGACGTCTGTGGAAGAAGCGCAAAACAAGTTGGTATACAGATCGGTTGGCTGCCACACGTCAAAAGGTAGGAACTTTGCCGCGCAAACTTGGCAAAAAGAAACGCAAAGGGTTTTGTCGGCTTACATCGCAAAACACAAATCTTTCTTTACACGGAACCATTCACGGTTTTGGCCGCAGACCGAACGAAGATCCACAGGATCTTGCTGCCGCAGCAACCACGCACGGCAAAAACACGCAACATTGCCGTTTTGCGAGACAGCATATGTGGCCTCTGCTGTAGACGTCTGTGGAAGAAGCGCAAAACAAGTTGGTATACAGATCGGTTGGCTGCCACACGGGAAAAGGTAGGAACTTTGCCGCGCGAACTTGGCAAAAAGAAACGCAAAGGGGTTTGTCGGCTTACATCGCAGACAAAAACCCTTCTTTACACGAAACCGTTGACGATTTTTTCCGCCGACAAAACGTAGAACGTCGTCCACAGGATCTTGCTGCCGCAGAAACCACGCACGGAGAAACACACAAGTTCCCTTTACACGGAACCATTGACGATTTTCTCCGCAGACAAAACGAAGAACGTCGTCCACAGGATCTTGCTGCCGCACAAACCACGCACGGAACAACACACAACCTTCCCGCAACTGTTACAACATTGATGCCTTGCAAGACAGGATACCGGATACCTGGCCTCTGCTGTAGACGTTTGTGGAAGAAGCACAAAAGAGGTTGGTTTACGAATCGCTTGGCTGTCGCACGGGGAAAAGTGGGAACTTTGCCACGCAAACTTGGCGAAAACAAGACCGCGCAGGGGTGTGTCGGCTTACACGGCAAAATAAATATCGTTCTTTACACGGAACCACTGACGAATTTTTCCACCGACCGAACGAAGAGCTTCGTCCACAGGCTTTTACTTCCGCAGAAAGCACGCACGGAGAAAACACACACACACACACACACAACTTTCCCGCAACTGAGTTAATCCGACCCTCAACAGCAGCACAACGATATTGGGGTAGGATCGCCGGGCAAGGCAAGGAAACCCAAAAGGGAAGCCCAGCCCGAAGAGGAACACAAGCTGCAAGCGTACCTCTTTTCTCATTGCTTGAGCCAAAGATCATGTCATTGGCACATTAAGCTACACAGTCAGACATGTTACCTATACAAGGACAGGGAACGTCGTATTCGACCAGCTAACTGTTACAACATTGCTGCTTTGCAAAACAGGATACCTGACTTTTGCTGTAGATGATTGCGGAAAAAGCACGAAGCAGGTTGGTATACGGATCGGTCGCCTGTCGGACGGAGCAAATTGGGAACTTTGCCGTGCAAACTTGGCAAAAAGAAATGCCAAGAGGTTTGTCGGCTTCTAAGGCGAACGAAGATCTTCTTTTGCACGGAACCATTGACGATTTTTCCGCAGACCGAACAAAGAGCGTCGTCCACAGGATCTTGCGGCAAGTTTCCCGCAAGTGCCACAACCTTGCTCCAGCATCCGCCCCGTTTTGGCCAGCTGGTGACTCGAAACTCGGAGTGCGGGCAGCAAAGCCCGGAGGGTAACGAGAACCCGAAGGGCCTTTGGCCCGCAGAAGAAGTGCCCCAGGGTGGAGCGGGAGGGTGAACTTGAAGCCACAATGATTCATGCAGCTCTGCATGCACGGCCCTGACTCAGCAATGCTTGCACAACTATGTTCCGAGAACTCCGATGCTCCAGCATCCGCCCCGTTTTGGCCAGCTGGTGACTCGAAACTCGGAGTGCGGGCAGCAAAGCCCGGAGGGTAACGAGAACCCGAAGGGCCTTTGGCCCGCAGAACAAGTGCCCATATTTGCAGGACACCGAAAAAGAGTCAGGGCCCATATTTGACTAGCCCTCTGGTGAAGCCGATAAGGAACTAATCAACGTTGAAACTGGTAGGCAATGGTCTGAACCTCGAAGTCGTAGAAACATTTAGCCAACGCCTTGCACAGCGCAGGAGGATAGCACTGCTTCCATCCAGATCGCCAGGTACCATCCTGGCGGTGACCCTGCACCGGTACATGAGGGCGCTGAGTAAAGTGACAAAGTCGCTTGCTCAGACACTTGCGAGCACCAACCCGGTCGAGCGCAATGTAGACGCCAAGAAAAGCTGTGGGCTCTTTGAACGGCTTTCCCCAAGCACAATAATGCGTGTTCACCACCGTCACATGCGGTTTCCTGCGCAGAGCTTGTATGGGCGGGCACAGCCACAAACGAGAACAGGTAGGATGCTCGAGCGTTGCAGGAACACGATGCTGCCAACACAGCTCGAGGACCCGGGCGCTGAACCGCATGAACAAATTGCCCTGCTCAACCTTGCACTGGTCCATTGCCGTCAAACCCGGAAGCCCTAGCGGTCGAGAATCACTTCGAAGCGGAGGTGGGCCTGGAGGAGCGTCACGAGCATGTGAAAAACTTGCGCGGGGAGGGCTGAGGTGTAGCCCCAGAATACTGCCGCCCCGAATCCATTCACAGATGAGGCGCATTTCACCGGGCTCCGAAGATCATACTCGGGGCCAAGACGGATGTCCCAAAGGAGCACGTTATGCCCACACCACTTGTGGACGGCTTTGGAAAGGCCGCCTTCGCCTGAAAAGATCTCCAGAAAGACAGCGGTGTTGATCACTGCGTGCGGGGACAATGCCGGGAGCACATAGTTCCTTGGATTTGCTCGGCGGCACGTAATGCCCGAGCCCGGATTGGGCGAGGAAGCGCCTGTAACTGTTGAGACAACCGTCCTCCCTTCTCGTAGCGCCTCACTGAGTTGAAAGATTTCCATCTGCCCCTTTTCTGCACGTCGGCGAGAGTTCGCCATTTCATGGCTATGTCCCGGCTCGGACCGCCATGACGAAGGCGATACGGGTGAGGATCTCCTATCGCCTCTTCCATTCTGAGTCGGGCAAAGGTTTTCTTCATGAACTCCCTAACTTGCTCCACAGTGACAGAGAACATTGGCTCTGTCCGGGGTCGTGTGTTCAAGGCCAGGTGGTGCTCGAGGGCCGTTGCTACGAAGATTATCGGCTGAATGTCGATGGTCACGGTCTCGTCGAACTCCGATGTCTTCGACGGTACTCCCACCTCCGCGGGATGAAGTATGAGGGACCAAACTGCCAGGCTCCCCAGCGGCCGAACCAAATCCATAACCCGAAGCCGTGTAGCCTCTCCTGGCCTCAGGTAGGCCACAAAGCATAGCAGCATGAACAGCCCGATCTCCACGCAGCCCAATTGCATTGCCTCTTGGGCTAAAAGGCAGGTGACCTCCCAAGGGAGAGGCAGCCGGCTTTTCGGTGGATCGAGCTTTCGCCATCCTTGCAGCGTCTGCTTGGCCAGTGGGAGGTTCGTTTGCTTCGGGGACCACAGCGCCGGCTGGTAGAAAAGCACCGCCGCCATGGTAAACTGAGCCTGTGAAAAATCTTCCCCCTCGTCGAAAAGGTCCTCCAGCACTTCGCAGAGAGCCCTGTCTACGATGATGGCCGGATGAGTGGCCTGCGGGCTCAATCCGGCCTGCGAGCACACCCTTCTCCAGCACGCTTGATAGCGGGCCCTGCATGCACTGCTCACTGAAGCCTCGGCCAGACTCATGCCCTCGGGTCGCAGCTGACGGCGCTCCGCTTTTTTGAGCTCTTTGCACTTGGCTCGAACAGGATTGGACTGTGGTTTCACTGTCCGGGGCCTTGTTGAACTGCTGCCTTGTCGCGGGGCCGCCCTCGTCGTTGTGGGTATCTGCAAAAGCCGATGGATCACCATGGACTTGCTGAGGCTTCGACGCGAAAAGCGAACCTCGCGAAGGTCCGTCTGCCGCGTTCCACTCACTAGGAATGAAACGGAAATAAGCAGAGGATCCAGTGCAGAGGCAGAGCGCCGCAACTTGTTGCGTAACTCTTCTCATCCCAAAGGCACGGCCTCTACCTCTATCAAGGGCGCAAATAGCCGAAATCGAATCAGACAATATAAGATGTCGCTGTCCAAAACCGGCGGAACTTCTGAGAGCATGCTTCACGGCAAAAAGAGAAGCCCTTCCCTCGAGAACTGGCATCCCTTCCTGACGACGCCACTTGTACCTACCAACCACACGCCAAATGCGATCGACAGTGTCAAACCTGACCGGCTCAAAACGATCCCGAAGAAGTTTGCCCTCATTGACATGTGGTGGCTCCGGCCGCTCCTGCGATTCAGCATCGACGGCGGCCCACTGCAGGTTTGCACTATCCTCGGAATCGAGTCCGACGGCGGCTCCAAACACTGATGCTCTGGGGAACTTAAACTCCGGCAGCTCAAACCTCCAGCGCTCAGAATATTGACCCAAAGACCGGACGTCCTTCGCAGGAAAATCGGCAACAACGGCTCCCAGTCCCCACGTGCTGGCATCGACGCAGGTAACCTGACGACCCCAGGGTGCAGAGAGGTCGCGCCAAATCAGAGGCGAAATCCCAATCCAGATTTGAAGCTCTCTACGTACCGAAGGCCATAGTCTGTGAGAGTGCCCGTAGTGTTTCTGAACAAACGTGTAGCTCTCACCCAGGACAGCCAAGGACTCACGCCGACCCAAGCCAATGAAGCAAGCATGACCGAGGACATTTTCAAGCTGCCTTCCACTGCAGCTGCCGATTCGCAAAAGGAATTCGATTGCGAGGATGCGCCACACTCTATGATTCAACGGTCTCATGACAGTGCCCTCAAACTGCCACCCCAAAATCTTGATGCTCCCTTCGGCGGTCTCCTCCTCGTGCACAACGAGGCCTTTGGCCCTAAGAGCTGCGACCCCAGCACTGGACAGAGAGAGCAGGTGGGTGGGTGGGTGGGTGGGTGGGTGGGTGCGTGGGTGCGTGGGTGCGTGTGTGCGTGTGTGCGTGGGTGCGTGTGTGCGTGTGTGCGTGTGTGCGTGTGTGCGTGTGTGCGTGTGTGCGTGTGTGCGTGTGTGCGTGTGTGCGTGTGTGGCGTGTGTGCGCGTGTGCGCGTGTGTGTGTGTGCGCGTGTGCGCGTGTGCGCGTCGGCCCCTGTGCCAGTGTGCGTGCGTGGTGCGTGCGCGGGTGCGGGTGCGGGTGCGGGTGCGTGTGCGTGGGATTGTGCGTGAGCGTGTGCGTGGGCGTGGGCGTGGACGTGAGCGCGAGCGCGGGCAGGGGCGTGGGCGCGTGCGCGGGCGCGGGCACGACGCGGGCGCGGGCGCGGGCGCGGGCGCGCGGGCGCGCGGGCGCGGGCGCGTGCATTGGGAGCGCGTGGAAGGCGACCCGGATGTGCGGGGCATCTTTTTCGAAAAGACTGATGAGAGGTGGAACTACGAAGTGGGCAGCCTGCGAGAAGCCTCAGGACAGAAGGGAGGATCCTGTTCACCTTCCATCAGCGAAAGGTAGCGCGGGAGCAGGTTGTGCTAGCGCGCCTCTCCGCAGTCCAAGAAAATTGGCCGGCGACTGCAGAGCTAGCGGCAGAAGAGCAGACTGCACAGGATGCTCGGGAAACTCGGGAGCGAGAGCTGGAGACCTGGTTCAAGGTCCGCCGCGGGAACCAGGAAAACCCGTGCGGGAAGAGATCGGAGAGTACAGCCCTCCGGCCCAGAACTCCGTTTTCCGCGACGCGGAACTCACCGCTCACTTTGTCAGAGCTCCGCTCACAGTCAGAAACCAACTGGCGCAGCCCATCCTCCCGGCGCTGTTCCTCACCCCACTGAACTCGCAGGTCCTTCGTCAGCAGAGACGCCTTTGGGAAGAAGAGGGACTGGCTGTTTGGCGGCCAGTGGTCCCCAAGTCCTGGAAAGAATGGGTGTTGCCGTGGGTGTGGGGGTGTGGGGGTGTGGGGGTGTGGGGGTGTGGGGGTGTGGGGGATTTTCCTGAACAAACGCTATCTCAGTGAACACCCGGCCCACAAAAAACGCCAGGTCACAAAACAAAAAACATTTCGATCTGATGAAAACTGTGATGTCACATGCCGTCCGACACGTGTGCTCACACATTCTGGCACAGAGTCGGTCTTGATGTTTTCGGTTTCGGACAGCATTTGAAAAGCCAGTGTGGACAAGTTATCGGTTGGGCAGAGTCGTCCAAACACAGCGTTTTCGCCATCTTTGGTCAGGCATCTGGCGTTCCCCCCCAATGGCATGGTCTGATAGGGCTGGGGGGGCTGGCATCTGCCGAAAGGGGTCGGGGCCGTTGGAGCTGCCGCTGGATGGTGGGCGGCACCTAAAATCCTATACGCCCTCAGGCGGTATGGTAGGTACTTACAGCAACGGCATGGTGGCATACTCACATGTACAAAAACCGCTGCCCATTATGTCAAGTGGTTCAAGACACCATAGCTCTCTCTCTTCGGAAGAGTGAAAACAACCTGCTGTCTGTGCAAAGGCAAGTCATTAGGTCTAAGGGCCGATCTGAACCCAGATACTCCCAACAGGAGTGGGGGATCCATATCTGGTGGCACGGGGGACTCAATGGGAGCGGAACAAGAACAGGGGAGTGGCGGGGGGGGGGGGGGAGCCGATACACCCCTTTAGGATTACTCCTGATGGAGTGTATGACCAGTTTGAGTCCCGTGGGATCTAAGGCAACGCCCAGCACACGGACAGCGATTGTTTTGTTCTGCTACGCAGAGAGAGCTTGCTACAAGTCGGTAAAACCACTTGAACCAGTGAGCAGCGGAATGTATATATGTGAGCATGCGACCAAGACATTGCTGTAAGTACTACCCCTTTAGAGGTTTAGGTAAACAAACAGACAACAATTTTCTTTTACTGAAAGCATGGCCGCGTGTTCACACATATACGAATAAAGTGCTCACCGTATTCAGTGTTGCGGAGTATGGACTCATTTTTTGGCTCCTGCATGGCGAGTCTGACGACTGCATGGCAGGTGACAAACGTTCCGGGTTGCGAGGATCACTGATGTCACAGCTCGACAGCATCCTCTACATATCCGGCTCAGGCCCTGCCAACAACGCCAGCAACCAGACCACCGAAACCCATACCCATCAACACGACCCCAATGGAAAACGTGATTTTGCAGTGACCAGGCCGGAAAAACAATGACAGCTACGAAGGTTACAGTACTACCAAGGTTGAAAAGGCAGTGCGAGTAAGTGCAAGGACAGTGCAGTTCGCAGTGCAAGGAAAAGGGATCTACCATGGCTGCAGTGAAGGACGGGCCTCTAGGTACAACAGCGATACAACACTAAGTTAGAGCCACAGAGTACTTGCAGGACCGTCCTACGCATACAGGAGATCGACTGTGCTGCCAAAAAAACCCATACAACACTACCTTCAAGCCATACAGTATATCGACCTCCAAGCTAAGCTACTTCGATGCTGCCCCGTAGCATCCGTCGCTATTTCTTGTTTCGAGGTCTTCTGCTTTCTTGCATAACCAGGCTGCCGGATCAGAAATTGACGAGGCGGTCATAGTGGTGCACGCCGGGCCATGGCATGAGAAGGATGCACCAAGTCAGAAGCGTTTGTAGCGTTCCCAGCCCTTCATACGTCATAGCGTGGTCTCATTTGCAAAAACGTCCAATGCCCGTTCAGCCATACTGTGCAAGAGGCACTGCGAAGGTCAGCAATGTCCACTCATTCGCCGAGCTCATATATTCTCGAAGGCATTTGCACCTGTGGCGCCCTCAGTGTCATGCGCCGGCAGCTGTCCGGCTTGTAGCGTAGTCGTGACTCATCACAGACAGCAGTGTCCACAGATTCGCTGAGCCCACTTGAGCTCGAAGGCACCAGATCAGGAGACGGTCACTGTCACAGTTGCTCGGTACAGCCCCTTTGCGGACAGATGGCGGTTATCAGGGAGATCTCAGCCCAGTGAAAACAGCCAACCAAACAGCACATCTCCAGAGTTGCATCGTATGGCCTGCCCAGAACATAAAGTAGTGAACCAAGCAGGTCATCGCCAGAGCTGTAGCACAGGGGTCCATGGCATCGGCGAGGGCGTGGGTTAGTGGTTTGCCTTAAACGACTACCTAAGCACCCTGAACGTGGGTAGTGAAAAGGTTAATATCTTCGATATTCCATTAGTTATGCAGAGCACACACTCACTCATTTTTGAGTCTACAAGCATGAGTCGTGTCAAAGAGAGATCTTCTGTACATGATCAAGTCTACGACTGCTACTTCTACTTCGAATTATGCAACGGCTCACTGAACTCTTGTTAGAGCTTGGATTTCCTTTTGTGCTGCTGCTGAGAATTATTCACCTTTGTGCCCGATCCAGGTTTGGATCATAGGATCTGCTATAGGCGTTCGGATGAGGCTCATCCGGGTCCGAATGGTCTTCCTCACTGCTAGAGTAAATACCAAGGGACCGATTCTCAGCTCTGGTATAAGCAGCATCTGGAATGCCATATCCGTGATCGGATGTTTCTGGCACTGCCTTAGCTTTTGGCGCAGCTTGTGAGCTGGTTGCCTTGGGATAACTTTGAGGACATGCTGGCTGTTTAGCCCTTGCTTTCGCTTTTGCCTTTTGGAGGTCTTGTCCATCGGAGGATGGCCAGGAGTGCTCTGACTCATCTCCTGATGGAGATAAAGCGTTAGCATGTCTGCTATCCTATCCCAATGATGTTGTGTTGATGGTGACGGTGGGCCGTCATCTTCCTTTTCCTCTTCTTCTGAGTCATCCTCAGAACTTGGATCGTCGAAGAGGTTCTCCAGAACATTCCGGAGATTGTTGTGTCTCCTCTCGATTTCAAGAGAGTTATGTAGCAGTTGGTTGAAGATCGTCCTTGCATTTTGTAATGCTGTGACAAGGATCTGTACACTGGATAGAGTATCGACATGCTTCTCGATGTGCTCTTTTCTTTCGTTTCTGTCCCTCTGTGTAGAGTCACTCAGAGCCATTGTTGAGTTGAGGATGCTTGTATACCTCGGTAGTGGCATGGTTACCGTCATGTCGTCGTCATTTATGACGATTGCTCCATCGCCTGTGAGGCTTCGTCGGAGTACTTCAATGACGGGAATAAACTCTGTGCTGAAGACTTCTTCCTCGTCGAAGCCTTCGATATGCTGTAGCATACTTTGGTGGAACTGTTCGGTTGACTCTATAGTATGATTGATTGATTCGATGTGCCTGTTGATAATGTTTCTGCACATCTGATTGGTAGCCGAACCAAGACTGGTTTCACCAAGAGCAGCGTCTGCTTGATTGCAGAGCCCTTGCTCATGTGCTGCCTTGATGGCCTTGCGCTGAATGCGCTTGTTCATGCCACCTCGTCTTGTAGGACCTTTTGGTCTAACTGAGGGTACAGAAGCCGATCCTTGAGAGGATGCCTTGGCCTTTGGCGGCGGAAGTTTCGGAGGAGGTGAGATGCAGGCTGCCTTGGAAGGCACTGGCGGCATTGCCGAAGAGGCTGATGGTTTTGCACTAGGTAGTGCAGCTTGACCTCGAGCCTTGGCTGTTGAGCTCTTGGAAAACGTGGTGTGTGTCACACCTAGGGCTTCTTCAGCCATTTGTGCATGAAGAGCATCTTGAAACAAACTCCTCATTTTAGGAATGTTGCTCGAGTTTTCATAGGCTCGGAGGCGATCAATATCTCTTTCGGTGCCCCGTGATCGTGTATCACCTCTGTTGAAGATATCGTTTCTTCGAATCTCCGCCCTCCGCCGTTGTTACGGCTTGGAAGCATGTTTTGCAGAGAATCTTTCGCGACTTATCTCTCGCTTGTCTTAGCTGATAGCATTCGCTGGAGAGATGATAGCACTGGCTACTTGGAGTATGCCAGATTGGTCGCAGATCCGTTGATTCTCCTGAGTTAACCCTGTTGGGTTCTGTCAGGTCTCTCGACTCAGGCTCGTCCTCTGGTTCGAGGAAAGGAGCACTTTGTTTGGCTGCTGCCTTCGGCTTCGGTGGGTGCTCCATACACTGAACTGGAGCTCTCGTCAATTGCTTCCACATCCACCGGAGCCCCATCAGCAAGAGGAAAACATTCCATGCCATGCTGAAGAAGGAAAACTCATCACTTGTTAGTGATTCTGGCAGCGAGGAATGATCGGTCTCCGTTGGTTCTGCATTTGCTCCCCCACGTTTGGGGTGTCCGAACCATCCTGATAGTCCAGCTGCTGTCGCAGCAGTTTTGACTGCCTTTGCACTTGGTGCTGATGGTGGACGCGAAGATTTTCTTCTCCTCCTGCCCGAGGATTCATCTTCTTCTTCTTCCTCTGCTCGTTGCGCATCCATCAGGTTTGATGTCTCGCGCTCATGCTCCTCAATGTCACTCTGAGTTGGTGACTTCTCTTCATCGATTTCGTTGAGCTCATCCAAAGACATGTTGAGCTTTTCGACCACATTCGGCCTTTGATTTCTGGACCTCGATCTTGGTAGATCGTGTTGGTCGGATGAAGAGGATGCCCGCTCTCTTCCTGGTGGAGGATTCGGAGGCTCATTTGGACGTTCGGGTTGTGGCCTCTCCCACCACCTGTTGTACGACTGAGAACGACCTGATGGTCGTGGTTTATCCCACCAGTTGTTACCGGAAGAATATGTGAAATGCTCTTGTGACTGCCGATATCCGGCTAGCCGTTGGTTATGCTCTTGTCGCTTTTTAGCGATTTTCTCCACTTGCTCGTTTGACCTGTTGTGGTTCCCTTTGGTGATCATAGGTTGGATTGTGAACCCTAGTGGGCTATGCCAATCTTTGTCGGAGGAGCCAACCAAAGGTCGGTATTGGAAAAAGTGGAATAATATCCCTTGGTAGAGATATGTAGACGGGCATCGATTTCCCTGATTCTGTTGGTCTCGTGCCACCTGTCTGAGACCCGCTCCCAGTATGTCCTTTCGACGGCTGGGGTGATCTTTTTGTGACTCGGAGTCGCCGTGTGCGGCGTTTTACCCCAGTCCAAGATATAGGCGTTTATGCAGTCGAGGTCTGCATATCTGTCCTCTGCATCCGGTAGGAGCCTATTGGCATAATCCAGTCTGTGCTGGTCTGAATTATTGATGCAGGAGTATCGCACTTGTGAGTGCCTGTCTGTCTTGTGATTGAATGCTGCCAGCTTTTTCTCTAGTGAGAGAGTAAAGAGGCTATTCCTGGGATGCACATCGCCACCCTTTAGGGTGAGTCTGCTTGCGATGTTGTTGAGGTCCCCAGCAATGATGTCTGGTTTGAATGGAAGGACCT